CATCTTGACAGATCGTTTAGAAAAATATCTTATCTAACCAAGTTCTGATACCACTTATTAGACAAATGACATCTAGAGAGGGGGTGAATAGATGCACAAATAAAATAGATGACAAATTAAAAATTTATTTTAGATGTCTAATAACTTGTTAATTCAATTTTAATTATCAGATTGAATTCATAAAGTGAAGAGAAAAACACACAGTAATTTATACTGGTTCGGATATAGTCAACCATACATCCAGTTCTTATTCAACTCTAATCACAAGAGTGACCCTGATTCACTATCTTTCAAATTCAGTTTATAAATTACAATCAACTCAGCAGAGGAACGAGTAAAAAACAAACTAATTTAAAAGACAATCACTTCCTTAGAAACTCATTAAGGATGAACACCTCCGTATAATCCTTAGGGATGAACACCTCCTCTGAACAAATCAAAGGATGAAAAACACCTCCTTTACCACCAACACACAAAGGATGAACACCTCCCTAGAAACACATTAGGGATGAACACCTCCCCGAACAAATCAAAGGGATGAAAACACTTCCTTAAAATCTTCCTAAGGATGAACACATCCCCTAATAAATCAAAGGGATGAAAACACCTTCTTAGAATCTCACTAAGGATGAACACCTCCTCTGAACAAATCAAAAGATGAAAACACAAATACAAACATAAACACACTGGTCACGAGACAGTATGCACACCTAAACCCACAAAGGATGAAGGCAATAAAATAAGAATAATCACATTTTTATAATGCAAACAACAAATTGTAGAAGTCTGTAGAATGATAACTTCAAGATCACAGTGTGATTGATAATGAAAGTACAGAAGGCAATATGAATTTTTTTTTCTCAGAAAACCTAAAAGTGCTCTATTACCTTACTCAGAATTTTTTTTCTCAAAATTGATTGAATGTAAATTATATTTTCGAATTCTGTAATTGGGTATTTTTTATTTTTCATCAAAACTCATTTAAATAGGAAAATAAAATCAGAAAATAGTCGTTAGTCATTAATATTTTCGTAGAGAAAAATCAGGATGTATTAAAAAACATTTATTCTTCAAAACAGATATATTTTTCAAATTTGAACTGCCATAATCGATTATGTTACCAGTATAATCAATTATGATAGAGAGAAAATTGTTTTTCCATTTCTGATGCATCTTAATCGATTATGATAGTGAAAAATGTCATGTTATTAAATTTTATCACACTTGTGCTTTGTAGACTTATGTATAATACCACTTCATCAACTTGTACTTCCATATCCAGTATTCTAAGACTATATCTAGTCTCCAGGAATCATTTTGGGCTTGCTTGAATCTTGAATGTTGTTGACTTGAATCATCATCAAAATCATCTCTTTGAAAGGTAGGACATGTTTCACATTGTCATCAATCTTCCCCTCAGTACTTTCAGTTATAGGGCAATCCAACAGGTCATGTAGTGCCTTCAAAATCCAAGACTAAGCTAGAACCTTCTTTTCTTGCATGAGGTTTCACATTATCATCAATATCCTCCTTATTGCTTTCAGTCGGTCTACTCACGATGACCCAACGAGGTCGTCTATTCTACACGATGACCCAACAAGATTTATCTATTTTATGTGATGACCCAACGAGGTGGGTTTACTCTACGCAATGACCTAACGAGGTTAGTATGCTTTACATGATGACCAATGAGGTTGATCTACTTTACACGATGACCCAACGAGGTTGGTCTATTCTACATGATGATCCAACAAGGTCGACCTACTTAACACGATAACCCAACGAAGTCAATCTACTTTACAAGACGACCCAATGATGTCAGTCTACTTTATTAACTTATCACATACAAGGCATATATAATTAAAAACTAGGGCATGATTGAAATTAAAATTAATAAAACACGAACACAATGAGTATCAAATACAAAGGCGATATGATAAACATATCCAGTTTTAGTACAATTAATATTACATTAACTACAATGTAAATTAGTCATATTCGTCTACAATTTGCTCATTAATCACACTCTTAAAAGGGTCAATCACAGACATATCGACTTCTAAAAATAAAAACATGATGTGCTCCATGCCTAACAAAGCTAGCGGCATATATCTTAGCGATTTAGGTCTTGGCGGCATCCTCAGACCTATGGTAGTAATAACACATGGCGAGTGTAATAATACGTGACAAACATATTCCCGTAAAAACAAGCATTGTTTGAGTTACCATATGAAAAACAACATTTGATCTATATAAAACACATAAGTTATTGCGTCACACAAATACCAACGTATAGATGTTAATGTCATATAAGGCAACATGATCCTCTTAAAGTCTAAGTGTTTAAACACTTGAGGTTGAAAGTTGTGTAATGTCAAAATAATCCCTCTTGTTGTGTGACCAACTTTATTGGTCGATGACGTATTAAGTTTACATATTTCAAGGATACAATGTTAATAATCTCACATAAAATTATACTTGTTACCAATAATGAAGAATAATTAAACTTGTTACCAATAACAAAGAATAATCAAACGTAAAGGATCGCAAATAAATGTTTAGGTTCGAGAAGAATGATTAATATAAATAAGTATTAGGATTATAAAAAATAAGTAACTCGAATCAAATAAGAACTTCAGAGCATTTATAGTTTTAATGTAATATTATTTTATTAATTTAAATTCAAATATTTTAAGAAAATATATAATTTTAGATATTTATAATTACACTATATATCATTAAAAAATAGATCTTATTAATTGAAAAAAAGTTATTTTATTTATAAAAAATTATTTAATAATTATATAAATAATTTTGTAATTATATAAATATTTAATTTTAATTTATTTTTTAAAAATAAATGTTATTTTTTCTTTGTCAATTTCTTCATAAGTATAACTTTTATCTACTCATTTTTTTTTATCGTTTTCTTTTCGTACAATTTTTTTAAAACTAGAACATAAAACCATATTCGCTTGTTTCTTTTCTTTTATGATTAAGTATCTCGTGTTATAGAATAATTTTGAACCCATAAATCATATAAATATAAAATAATTTTTATAACAATAATTAAATGATAAAACTAAAACTAAATAATTTACCGAAAAAAAATTATAATAACATTATGATTCATGCTATTTACTAAAATTATACATTATCTTAATTTATTATTTATACACATAAAGTTTGAAAATACCCCAAAAGAAGTATTTTATTATCTAGTTAAAATATTGTTGCAAAAAGAATGGACAAGCCAAGAACTTATTGAACTACTATTCTATTATTTAATTAAAATTATGTTACAAAAAGAATGAGCGAGACGAAAACTTCTTGGAAACTAATGCAGATAATAACGAGGCAGTGTACCTCAATTTGTACAGGATTATTTTAGGCTTGTGATTAAAATTATTGAATTCTTTGAAGAAAACATTGCCCGATTGAAGAAGAAAATTTGTATACTTCCCCTACTCATAAATAAAAGAGAAAGTGAAAGATTAGCCTTGTAACTATGAAATTAAGAAAACTACTATTAGAAATGGTGGACACATAGTTTTGTTATGGGTGAAAATTAGGAGTCCCTCTAACTAGGAAAATATTTCAATTTTATTATTGCTGGTAAAGAGTAATCGAGAAAATAGTTAGAAAAAAACCATTAAGAGAAATATTTGCTCAAAATATTTTCATCATTTCCATTTTTGTTGGGTTGGATCCCAATACATACATTACATCCATGAAAAATATATAACTATATTCTTCTCAATCCCATTCTTCATTCTTCATTATTTATGTAAATCCTACTAAATTATGAGTTATATTCCTATTTATTGACTCTAGTCTATCATTTAGTAAGACCTAAATTTCATCACCAGTATCAAGTGTGTTGTAAGCATTAACCTGCTAATTATTTGTCTGATCTCCCTAAAATAAGTCATACAGAACAGACACATGGAAGCAGATAGCTCTTCTCCTTACCCAATTCTATACCATACTTATTCTTATAAACTATCAGGATCAAGATCTTTTCACTTAGTTGCACCAGTGATACAATACCATAGGATTAACCATTGTTACACAAGACAAAACACAGCACAAAAACAGCAGGACCATGAATTTTCTTAGTTTGTGCTAGCCTTTAAACATTAAGCAAAGTAATTGTATTAAATTTTATTTGACCACTGGTAAATTAGTTTAGTTTCATGAGAAACATTAAATTGATCACATTCGTCACAAGTCATTGATTAGTGAATACTCAATACCAATAACATGACTACCCGAAAAATAAATCCCACAAGATATAGGAGTTCTATTCCTATTTAGTGAATCTCTTCTATTATGCCTTAGTAAGACTCGCATAAATTTGACGCCAGTGGCAGCGTGTTGTTAGTACTAATTTACTTGGTTATCCATCTGATTCCCTAAAACAAGTAACACGGCAGGTGCACAATGCTAATAGCTCTTCTTCTTGCTGAATATATATTTTTCTTTCTATCAGGATCATGATCTTTAGCTAGATGCGCAGTGAGACTATATTAGGGGATTGAGCATTGCACCACAAGACAAATAGCGACAGGACCATGAATCTCTCTTTGAGTGTGCTATAATCTTTAAGCAAATAATTGTATTAACTATGATTTAACATTCTAAATCCAAAAACATAATAGTAAATTAATTTATTGTCTCTCACCCTCCTATCCTCTTAAGCAGTGCATACATAAAGACAGTCTTCAACTCAACAACAAAACGAGACGTTTTGTCTTTAACATAAATTGCTGCAATGATGCGTATCAAACTATAAGTTATTTATGAGTCAACATCATTTTAGAACCAAGAGAGGCCAATCTACTTACAATATAGAAAAAATAAATCAAACATCCATAAACAAAAGAACTAGGCACATCAAATTAATAATAGCAGAAAGTCACAGGGTGCATGACATGAGTTTATTTTATTCTTAGATACTTAACCACAAGAAAATAATTCAAACTAGAAAATTTCACTCACTAAGGCAGTTTCCCAGATCGAAAGATGGCAAATTTGGAGGCTGTAGAGTAGGAATAATCAATTTCATTCTCCTTCAAGAACTCCTCGAGGAGCCGTTTAGCTCCTTCAGGATCAGCACTCTCACACTCGATCTCGTAGAGAGTTCCAAAGTCAAACTTAGTTTCATCCACCTCCAATTTCAATCCCTTCCAATCATACACATTCCTCACATTCCCAAACCCCCCCAACCCTACAAGACCCTTTTCAATTCCAAACTCCTCCTTCACTCTCCCCAAAACCCTAGACTCCACCGATCCCAATTTCCCAGGCTCCGCAACGCATTCGCGCCCGATCCTCGGGTCCAGATCCTCCTCGTCCTCCTCCACACGACTAACGCCATCCACCAGCACCGCCCGCGCCTTCAGCGAAACGACGCACCGCTCGTCGTCGCCGTAGAAGCGAAGGCGCAGCACGGCGCGCCGGGCAGAGAGCTCGGACGCAGAACCGTCAAAGAAGAGGTTCTGCTGGCGGTGGGTGACGACGTGAAAGGGGGAGAGAAGGGTGGTGACGTGGCGGTGGGCGTTGGCGTCCGCGAGGCGGAGCTTCACTTCGACCTCCATTGGGGAAGAGAGAAGGGAGAGTGAGGTTAGGGTTTTACGAGGAGAGGCCGATGCGATGCGCCTTGGAAGAGGGATCTTCGCCGCCGCGATCCAGCTGACGGAGGAGAGCGGCGGTGCCAGCGGGGGCGGCGGTAGTGGCAGTGGTGACGGAAACGTTGCGGTGGCGGGCTTCCTCGAGTTCTTCTTTGTCTTCGATCTTGACTTCAATTTTTGTTGGCTTTCTCCTTAGCATTTTGCTTGCAGAACGCTCATATTCTCTTTCCGCGCCTCTTAAGTAACGCAAAAGTACGCCGTATTACAGGATCTAAAGCTTAAGGAAAAAGGAACAAATATTCGAATAGAAAGGAGTATACATCAAATCTAGCTTTACTTTTTTTTTCTTTTTTTTTAATCTTATGCTTTATCTTATCTAACACATTAAATAAATAAAATTTATATAGTTTTATTCATTCAGGCAAAGGTACATTCATCTTATCTTCTTCTTCTTTTTTATCTAAGTTCAACAAATATTTTTTTAATTATTAAAATAAAATATTTAATATTAGACAAAACGTATTCATTAGAAAATAAAATAAAATAAAGAGAGAGCAAAGTTCAATATTAAAGTTGAATAGAAATTAATAAAGTAAACTTTATAATTGAGTAAAAGCACGTATGGTATGACCACACCCGTAACATTATTGGTAGAAAATTGTATATACTTAGAACATTCAGTCAGATGTTTGATTTTCAAATTGGTATATATAATGATTTTGCAAAATATTACCAAGAAATATTTTTTCATTTCATTATAATTAGTGTATTTTTTTCTTTATTTTTATTTCATTATTTGTGAAATTATGTATTCGAGTTCAAAAAATAGTATAAACATTGATAAAAATATATATCAAATATCAAGTTCTACTAATAATAGTAATAATTTTATTAAGATCTATCATCATTCTGATCCTATATTATATTTTTTTTAAATTGTTGATTATTATTATAAAATATAATAAAAAAGTATTTTTTTTTACCTAAAAAACTTCAGAACATAGTTAATAATTTTGTTTACTGAATTTGTTAAACATTTATGAATGTTTTTTTTTTTTAACATTTAAGCATTATAACTAACGTTTGTAATATCAAATATTTTAAAAAAGTTGTATATTTTAAATGAATAAATCTATTTTTTTATTATTGGGAACATCCTTCATATAAATTTGACAGTATTTCGATTATTTTGATTCATTATTATTAATATCCTTTCACATAAATGATTGATTATGTGAATTTTACCTTGAGAAAACACTTTTTCATTTGTCAATTTAAGTATATTAAAAAACTAAATTCACAGAATATTTCACACCTTATACCAGAGAATTTTTTTATACATATATGGAACACAGATTATAAAAATTATTATCATCATGAATGAACATTTATTCTGGATTTTTAGTATAAGGTATTTCATAATTAAAAAAAGTATATTATAAATTTGAATTTTTTGTATTTAAAATTATTTTATTTTTTTAATATTTTGTTTGGGCAAGATAAATTTAATTTATTGAAATGTATTTTTTTATAAAATATTTTAATTACTATTAAATATAAATATTTTTAAAACTTAATTTTATTAGATAAAGTATTTTAATTCTTATCAAATATATATAAAAATTTATTATTAGTGAATTAGATAAGTGATAACAAACTAGATCGAGTCAAGTAATATTGGAACAAACTAAATTGGTAAGATCAGTTTAAATTAAAACAAATTGTATTAGACTACCAAAGTTTGATCAAGTCGAGTTAGAGAGACAAATGGGGATAAATCGGATTAGGTTAGGACAAATCATATCATGTTGAATTAAGATCAATTAATTAGGTTGTATCAATAATGATTGGATTAGACATTGAGATTAAGAATGATCAAATCAAGATAAATCATATTATATCAAAATGAGTCAAATTGAGATAGGTTTGATCAAGCTCGATCAAATATACTTTGGTTACTTTGGTCGAATCCGATAAAAAGAGTTTGTTTAGATTAAGATAAGTTAAGTTAAGATGAGTTGGACTATATCGAAATAGATTGAGTCAACCAATATAAAATGAATAAAATAAAGAGAAGTGAGGTTAAAATGGTTCGATGATGATCAGATCGTGGTGGATTGATTCAAACCAAATTAAGATGATCGACCCATATTAAAATTGGTCAATATATAAAAAATATTATAATTAAGATTATGTAAAAAAATTAAGTATAAGAAACAAAATAAAGAATTTTAAAGTCTTATTCTTTTATAATATTTTAAATTATTATATTTTAAATAATAAAAATACTACAATCAATTTGAAAAATTTAAATTACTTCTCAGTTCTTTATCTCAACCACTAATATTTACATCACTCATTTTGAATATTTGATTAAAATAAATTATCATTTGTTATTTTTTCATCAGAATATAATATTGATTTAATAATGTATGATTTAAAAAAAAAACATATTGTATTTTTTTCATTTAAATTTAAACAAGTGTTTTTTATTTATTCAGGTTGCTCAGATACTAGTTTAAAAAGAGTATGAAAAGTATATAGTTTTCTATCTTTCCGTTCAGGAATCCCTTCACAACTTAGAAAATATAAATTCTATATAATTTAGGAAATAACAGATAGTTCAACCTTTGAAGATCATGAGTTATAATATTTTGATTGAATTATAATATTTTCTTTTTATATTTTAGATACAATTATTTATTATGCCTTTTATTTTGTTTTTAAAATTAATTTTATTTTTTGTTTTAATATTTTAATTTTCACATTAATTGATACAGTTTTATTATTATAGAAAATTAAACTTTTAGCAGGATTTTATTATTATTAAAATTGAACTTGAAAATAAAATAAAAGAATTAATCAGGCAAATATGAACAGAAATCATCCATGATTTATTTTTTTAATTAAATATATATACAAAATATAAATTATAATTTATTCTGTCATTATATTTAATAAGTTATAATTTAAATTAACTTTTAAATAATTATTATTGTAAAATATTCTAGAATAATAATAATTTATTTTATCTAATAATATTTATGAGAAAAAAAAACAAAACATTAAATAAAAAAATCAATAAAACCGTAAGTAAAGAATGAATACATATTTATAAACTATACATTTCCACACGTGTGTGGAAATATATGCATGCAATAATCTTTTTCCTTTTGGTTATGAATAAAAAAGAAATCTAATTAAGAGTGAAATGAAAATAAATCCAATGTTTATATAAACATGCAAATAGACTAAAACCTAAACTATATTCAATTTGTTCGATTGCACAATAATTTTATTAGCCATACAAATAAGTATTCAAAACAAGATCAGATTAATATGTGAAATTACAGTAAAATCAAATTTAAAAGTTAAGGTAAATTAATAAAAAAATTAAAACATACCAGTGATGTGATTTTTCTAAAAAAAAAAATCATCAACAGATCCCATAATTTATTTATTATTATTATTTTTAAAAAGAAAATATCTGTTTGTTTTTAGGTGATTCTATTTTAGGTATTCATTAATTTAAGAATGTGATTGTTTGTGCTTGGCTATAGTTTTTTTTATGCTAAAAGATATTACTTATTATCCTAAAGCGTACAATATCCTTAATCCTTAATACCAGAATAAATTTTGTTAGATTTTAAAAGATTATTTATATATATATTTTAATTTCTAAGCTATTTATTTTGTAAAATTGTTTATAATTAACTTATGAGCAATTGAAATTATTAAAACCAACAAAAATAATTATATCATAAAATTCTCATTGAAATGTAAAATTTGGAAGCTTATATATATATGTATAAAGTGTATAAAAGATGAGTTTCAAATAATTTATTGAATTTAATTTTTTTAATAAAACATTCTTTTTATATCTAGATATCAGGGTGAATCACATTTGATGTCATTGATTTGTTTAAAGTTATCAAAATGTTTTTATAGCTGATGTGGCAACTAATAATTGGAAACTGCTACATCAATTTGAATCCAAAACCCTAACGGGATCAAACCCCATTTCCCGCACATTGTTCTTGTAACCTGTCTCTCTATATATTTTGGTTTCATAGTTAAATGCTAAAGCAAATTTGAGGTGTAGCAGCAACAATGGAGGTTCAGACTATCACTTTTGAGCACTCTTTGTGGGAGACTGTGGTCGTGGATACTCTCCTTACCACTGTCAAATCTCTGTTGACTTTTCTCATCATGGTATTAAGCTTTTTATTTATTTTATTTTTCTTTTAATTTCATTCACATTTTCCTCTAGTTATATATCTTTGCTCTAGCTTTTGTATATTTTTTCTTTGCTGCTCATGGGGGGTTTGTGTAGTGTTCCTTAACCTTTTAGTGTAGTTAAAACCTTCTGTAAGAATAATACACCTTTTTATATTTCTTTCCCGGACCTTTTTGCTTGTTTTTGTTTTTGATATATTTTTTTTGGGGCGAAAGTTAGAACTCTGTTTTTCTTTAGATTAGAAAAGGATTCTGTGAAAAAGGGTGGTGTGACTCATGAATGAGCACTGATGAAGTTAAATCTTCTTGTTTTTGATATGTCAACATATTGCTTTAACTTTCACACATAGGGCCTGTGCTGCTATTTTTTGTTGACTTTCAGTTATGTTCTGCATAGAACTATGTACTGCTACTCAACATGTTTTATGTGGTTCATGATGTGTCTTAGTATTGTTGGCTATATTTACTTTGCTGTTTTTTCATCATTAATGTTACCTTTATCACCAATTATTTGTTAAGCAAGATGTCAAGAGGGATTCCAACAAACAGTTTTGGTATGTTTGGGAGGTTTTTAATTTTCTCAAACAGGGTATTGCATTTGCTTATGTCTGCATATGTCTGCGCTCTGCACTATATGCATGACGGTATTGCTGTTTCAGCTTCTCAAACTGTGAGTTTTTGCTTTCTTAGGTTAGTCTCTGTTGATCACTGGACAGATTGTCCTGCTGTACCTCTTTTCTTTTTATAGTAGAGAGCTCTTTACAATAATTTTTATCGGAATTGTTATCCGTTATAAACACTGATAATGCATCATTAAACGTCTGCTTGAAGCTGTGTACTGATTATTAAATAGCAATGTTGAGATCAGAGTATAATTGCAAGTTTGCTTTTTCTATGTCATAAGTTTTGTGACTGTTCTATTTTTCATTGGGTGAAATTATTACTTCTTCGTTATACAAACTGTTACATTGGTGTTGAAGTGAAGATTCTTGATTCTTTATTTGTGTTTTCCTCAGACTGGATCTCTTCTTACAAATGTCAATAACTCAGTGTCACCAATTGATGGAAGGTAACAGTGAACATATATACCTCAATGCTGTTGTGGATGTTTTATTTGAAATGTCCAATTATATTTATTTTTAATTCTTGGTCAGGTTTCCTTTTGACCAACTACGCAAGAGAAAACATACTTGTGAAGAAAATAAGGATAGTAGTGATACAGAGGATGATGATGAAGATGAAGAAGATGAAGAAGAAGATGATGTGAATGATGCAGAAGATGACAATGATGAGGATTTCTCTGATGATGAAGGTGGGGAGGAAGGTGATTCTGATGACGATCCTGAGGCCAATTTTGGAGGTGAAAAAGATGATAAAGAAGATGACGATGATGATGAAGATGATGATGATAATGAAGATAATGAGGATGAAGATGAAGAAGATGAGAATGAAGAAGAAGAGGAGGAGGAGTCTCCACAACCGCCTAACAAGAAGAGGAAATGAGAATTATTCTAGTGGACAAATTGTCATATGCTTTTTTAATGCTTTCTAGTTTTTATTTGGATTTAGGATTTAGGACAAAGATTTATCATCTTGGACCAGATCACCCCATGTTTTTGTCGTTTAATATCATAATTTATGAAGGTTATCATTACTATATTCTCATGTTACGATGTTATTAGCAGTGGATGCCATGGCATTCTATGGCAGAATCATGGTAAAAATGTGAGTAGCCGAGAACAAAGAGAACAATGAGAGGTAAAGGCTGTTGGAAAAGGGAACACAACAAAAAATGAAAAAAGAAAACTGGTGTGGTAGGTAATGGGGTCAGGTCATGCTACCCTATTTCCTTTCCCCCTTTCTTTTTCATTGGGGTTTCAAATCTGCCATTTCTTCTCTTCACATTGCCTGAGCCGTGGTCACACCATGTTTAATGCAGCTGTCATAGCTCGCTATGACATAGCACTTTGTCCAAAAACTGCGCATTACACAAGCATATTCATTGTAGGTAACCTCCATTAGCAATTGGTTTCAACAGGTTAATTGGTTGGATGTTAGTAAATAAGTGGATACAAAGTCCGTGATTGGAATGCATTATGATCTATATAAATAAAGAGGGATGAAGATGTATTTTATCACATGATTTTAGAGGTAATTTAGATTGTTGTGAGAGAATCTAGGTCTGTCCAGAGTTTTGGAAAGTATTTGAACACTTACACTTAATTGTTCACAGAATTTTCTTTCCGCGAGTCTGATTTAGGTTCTATCAACTGGTACGAGAGTTAGGATTCTTGAAAATGCTTATAGTTTCTGAAGGAAAAGAATGGTGGTTGATAAATGTGAGACACTATGGTGCGAATTCGTGATGGCTTCCCTCAAAGTTTTCGTAATTGATCCAAATAATTGGATTCAAGAGGACAACCACAAAGCAATGGAACAGAGGACAAAATCTAATGACAAAAGAACAATAAAGGATAACAGAAGATGGAGGTTTGAAAATATTAAAACCAACAGCTCAAAGGCAAGAAACGAGAAAGTATAAGATACATACGAAATAAAGTGTAAGCCTTCGTAGCCATCTTGAACAAAATGGTTAAGAAACTAAACCTTTCCTGCAACAAGATTATTAAGATCGATGATCTTCTCACAAACTCGTGAGCTTACCTTGCGAGGCATCAATAGCTCAAATATCAAAATTCATGGGCTTCCCTACCATTGTTGTTAGAACCGAAAGGACACTTTCATTATAGTACTTCTTACCTACACTTGGAAACTATATTCAAACCAAATTTCTATCACTAACAACTTTTAATGACGCAAAATCCAAGACCCCTTAGCCTTACCGCAAGATAATGATAAAAAACCATTCAAAGTCACCACAAACAACCTTATCCTTGTCCTCCACTATGTCGAATTTGTTACCAAATTGAACCTATGGGGAACACCTCCTAAAGGTTGTTTTAAGTTTATCTTACAAGGAATAAAAATTTATACCTTTTCCCAACAATTTAACAATAACTCCATCTTTCCATTACAGCTACAACTTTTGAAGAAAGCTTTCCTCAGTATGCTTAACTCTAGCCAATCTCCGTCCTCATAAAATCTTAAACCATGTTTTTCACTATCAAATCCTTTCTCTCCTTAGAGCTAACACTTGTTGTTCCAACATCCTATTACAAAACAGTAAACTTTCTAAATAATACTCATACAGTTATCCCACAACTTCGGTGATAAAGAGAAATTATGTAAAAGAGTAATAATACATAGACTTTTTTTTTTTTTTTAACAATTAATCAACACCTACTATCATTTTTCAAAGTCTATTTTTTCTATCACATTATAATTAATCCCTATAAATCTCTCCCTCTCCCTATATATATTTTATCTCTCTAGATGCCATTTGGGTGTCATTTTATGTTTTGCATGTGTATATATCTTTTTCCTATTCAAAATACTCTATATCGATTGTTGTCCAATCCTCTGGAATGAATTAATATTTATCAATAAAAAATAATAACTATTTACAAAATAAATAATAATCAATTATCTAAAAATTGATAAAGTACATCTTTAGTTATTATTGTTTATGAAGCGTATTTTAAAATAGTAAATAAACTTGTAAAAAAAATGTAGTTTTTAATACGAGTTGTTTGTGTTTTTTAATATATAATTAATTTGTATGTTTTTTTTATCTAAATAAAATTAATATTCTATTACAAGAATAAAAATATTTTATCATATGTATTTATCATTCTTTTCTCTTCAAATAGTGTATTAATAGTATTTTTATGTGGTAATTAAACGAGTTTTTCTGATATCCCTTTTTTTTATAACAATAATACGTGGATTTTTGTGAATGTGTAGCATGTATCTTTATCAAATTTTCACAATTTTTTTTAGATATTATTTAATGTGTATTTTTCATGCTGTCAAATTTTTTTTGCTATAAATATAGTAAAAAAATATTAATTACAAAACTATGATTTATAATTTAAGTATGAATTTACATGTTTTTTTTATCATAATATAAATTATATTTCAAACGAGATTAAAAATATATTACAAAAACATAAAAGATTGCATCATACTTTAATTTAAGAATTGACATTTACCTCTCTCTCGTATTACCAATAGAATAACAATTATACTCTTATTTTATTTATATTTATGTTTCTATTAAAATCCTATTTTTTATTAATGTTTTAATTAAAATAATAAAATAACGGAAATAAATATTATTTATTAAAAAATAGACATGGGAGATGAATGTGTGCGTAAAAGATAGAAAAATTAATATTTATTTTAAAACTAAAGAAGTTTAATATAACTTAAATTGTAAATTTTTATATATTTCTTAGTGATTTAACAATATAAATTAAAATATTTTGAATTACAGAATAATAATATTAAATATAAGAATCACTTAAATAACTTAATTATACAAATACATTTATAAATACTTATGCTAATTTAGTTATTTTTAATAATCTTGATGAATCGTGTATAAATCACATGGTGGAGGATGTATTTAACAGCCACTCCCATTGAAAAAGGTTTTTGGAGGGTACCTCAAGCCAGCCGCGTTGAAAGTAGTTGAAGAATAATGGAGAAGGCAGGGAAGAGAGTGTTGCTGACCTCAAACGGCGACGACGTTTCGCAAGGCATCGCTTTCCATCTAGCCAGGCAAGGGTGCAGGTGAACTCTCCCGCGTCCGATCACTTTTTGTTATTCCTTCGTTTGTTGATTTTTGATTTGTTAATGGATGATCGATTCGCTCAGGTTGGTTTTGCTGGGAGATGAGAGTTGCTTGCGGATCATCGCGCACAAAATCATGGATTCCCTCTCCATCACCGACAGAGGCACTGTGCAGGTCGTTGAATTGGACATGGAAGATCAAAGCGAAGAGGTTTTCCATCACTCTGTCGATAAGGCATGCCAGATTTTGGGGAAATTGGATGCTTTTGTCAACTGTTACAGTTACGAAGGTAAATTAAGAGAGTAAAAGTATTATGACATGACTGAGGTATTGTTACTTAAGAAACGAGCGTGGACCTATGAGCTGAATCAAATTGGGCTTCCGATAATTCTTGACAGGAAAAATGCAGGAGCATATTGAGTTAGATGAGAGTGAGTTTAAGAAAATAGTGAAGATAAATTTTATGGCTACATGGTTCTTGTTAAAAGCTGTTGGCCGAAGGATGCGGGATTCCAACACTGGGGGCTCTATTGTCTTTTTAACCTCCATTCTTGGCGCTGAAAGAGGGTTGTATCCAGGAGCTGCTGCATATGCCTCTGCCTTGGCGGGAGTACAGCAATTAGTTAGGGTAAGACTATTTATAACCTTTTTTTTTTATTAGTTTTTGCTTCTCGGTTACCACGTAATTGTGATTGATATTGTCTAATTTTTTATTTTGAAATCGGCGTATCAAATTTCGTGCATTTTATATGTAGGTTTTGTGTGTATAAGTTTTCGGTAATTATTTATACGGGAAAAAAAATTAAAACTAGAGAAAAAATTAAAACTTTTTTTCATTAAAATAAACTTGTATAGCTTAACTTTTAAAGTGTATTTTAATTTGCACGAGAAGTTAGATTTATTTTAGCAATTCGTATTCTTTCCTCATAGAAAGATTTAGTGTGTAAAGAAAAGGAAAGGAAGATTTTCATGACTTTGAGATACGATGTGTCCTAGTGTAATGGAGTTTCTTACAAAATTTTGTTGAGAAAACTTGGTTCTCTGCAATTTGAAACTAGTGACTCTTTTGTCTGTCTCGTGGTTACTGCATTACCTGTATTGCCTGTACTTACTATTTGGATTACATATTAGCAAGTTAGTTGCCAATGTCAATGTTATGAAATAACTATACTTTAAGAGCAGTTTCTGCGTGGGTTTCTCATGAGATAAGAGAGGAAATCGTATGCCTTTGTTGCTTGTTCAAAAATAAGAATTTCAGAGGGATGGTTCCAGTGTAATCCCTTCTGCACTTATCACCCCAGCAAAAGGGTAAAAATATATTGATCTGATGTGATTAGGGATAAGGAAGAATCACTTTAAGCTATGGATGAAGATAAGGAGAAGGTAAAGGAAGCGCTCTAAAGAAAGTATACAACGGCTTACATGTAATAAACCCTTTGTTTGGTTACAAGGTTAGCTAAGAAGGAAAGATAAGACTTCTTAGTAACCTATTGTTTGGTTAGATATATTAGAGAGGAAGTGTTTGACCTCCTTCCTTTCCCATATGTCTCATATATAAGGAGTGTCGTAGGTCAGATTATAAACACTTATACTTCGAAAATAGAAGTCACCTGAGAACATTTGTGCTTCAGTTTGAGAACTTGTGAGGAGTAGAGAACTTCTCTTTTTAGGATTCTTATCTTGAGAATTAGGTCTCAAGTAGGATCACCATACTTGCTTATCTCTTGAGTTGCAGTGGTGCAAGATTCTTCTAATTCCTAGTCTCTTTTTGAATAATAATCTTGGTTAGCTTCTGAAGGCTATCTTTCTTTCTTGTTCTTTCCATTTTCTTCCAAGTCTCTTCTTTTCTTTGCTTTCTTTCTTCTTCTTTGGGTCTGTGCATAATATAGCCATATTTTGGCCACCCAAACACCATCCGAATCACCCAAAAACACCAACCGCCTACTAAGATTTGGAAAGAGACAAGAACCCTTCATTAATCCAGCCTTGTACATCCACCCTACCATGAGTTCTTGAACTCATCTTCTCCTTTAAGCTTCCGCATAAACCTGCACAAAGATCAACAAGGAATTCCTCAAGCAATCTTCCAAAATTCAATCAAGAATCAACCAAGAAACACCCTACAACCAAATCATGGCTTGAAGCTTGAGATAGTCGATCCATTTCCATAAGTAAAACCTCGTATGTTCTCATCATGACCACTTCTAGAACTTCTGATCCTCTTCCCGTCTCCTCGACCTTGATAGGTATGCCCATTGTTTTTGTAATTCTCTTACCTTCAATTTTTCTATCTTATATTAAATATGTTATTTATTCTTGTAATCTTTCTACATGGGAGACCACTTTTATTCTAAACTTTTGAAGAAAATTAATGCATATAAAAGACTTGATTTGGTTATTGAATTGGAAGATAAGGCTGTGATTAATTTTAAATTGACAGAGAAACTGATTAGAATGAAGTGGAGGAGTGAGCGACATGGTGGCAAGAGTCAGATTTGTTATCCTCTATCTAATACTATTTATTTCTCTTCAGGCTTCGGCTTTAGAGATAGGGAAGTACCAGATCAGAGTTAATGCTATTGCCCGAGGCTTGCACCTGCAAGATGAATTCCCATTATCCGTGGGAAGGGAAAGAGCAGAGAAATTGGTGAAGGAGGCAGCACCACTTGAGAGATGGCTTGATGTTAAGAATGATCTGGCGTCTACAGTTATCTATCTAATCAGTGATGGATCTTGCTACATGACTGGAACAACCATATATGTAGATGGGGCACAGTCTATAACCAGACCTCGCATGCGCTCCTTTATGTGACTCTAATGGTGGCGCTGAAAGGATTTATGCAAGGAATGATCTGCCAGACAAGTTTCATATTGCACTTAGGAAATGATGACATTTCAATTCTAATCTTAAACCTTGAACTCCGAAAATCATATCTGGGGGGCTTACATGCCATGTTTATAAACAACTAAGTTTGTGCAGTTGAAAATGTAACTGCTTAATCCATGATTTAAAGAGTGAAGCTAAATTGCAGATTTGTTAAACAAGTTTGTGGCGAAGGTATAACTTTGTGCAATGGATGTATCAGTCTTACAACAGGTAGTACGCCAAAAAAGGAAAATCATAACAACTATATAAAATATTCATTAATATTAGCGTGTCTAGATATAAAATTTGGGATTTGCTATGGATTCATAAATTTTAGTAAAAAACTGCACTAGAAGTACAGAACAACCCATTCAGCTTGTTTACTTCAGTTAATCTGGATAGGGATATAATAGAAACTTAGTATTCATTTAAAAGTAATAAAAAAGTTCTCTCTTCTCTCCCGTCTCTCTCGAGCCACAAGATTCGGCTTGACTGTTCTTCCAATTTTTTTTCCTACTTGCTCGTTTTCTCTCCTTTCCCATCTCAACAATCTAACGTAACACATTTCATGTAAGTTCTCCGTCACGGTCCTTTTCGTATCTTTTCAGGAAACATTCTCAAATTCATGTTATACCACAGTTAGTCTCTCTTTGAAACTGTTTATAATATACTATCACAACCTTAGTGGTTATAGATGGTAATTTTAAGGGATCTTTGTCTTCCCGTGCAAGCAGTTGGAAGATTACTACAGGAAGTAGAAAAAGCTTCTTAATTTGAAGTAGCAGATGGAATGCTAGTTTGCAAAATCCAATCATTAACAAACAGAATAAAAATGGAAGGAGAACAACCAAGAATAGAAAAAGAGCAGAGCACTGAGAATGCTACGTGAATGATTGAGTCTGCCAAGTGCACCAGCAAAGTACAGAAAAGAAGAACCGTGACAGAGAATTTACCTGAAATGTTACGTGAGATAGAAGGGGGAAACGAGAAAGGATGAGCAAATAGAAAAAAAAAAATGGAAGAAAAAGGGTGTCGCTGAATGCTTAGGTAGGTAACCCGAGTGATGGGAGAGGAGTGAGAAATATATTTTAATGAATACTAAATTAACTAAAGAGTTAAATGCTTATTTTATAATGTACAACCTATTAATGCTTATTTCTGTCCTATAATCTTTTATGAAGGTTGCTGGTCTATCTATTCCCCTACTAAAAGAATGTTTATGTAAGTGTTTCAAAAGTAGACTGATTGTTTAACTATGTTTATGAGTTATTAATAGGATTAATGGATTGATAATTTAATCCTACGAACTTATATATATTATTAATAAAAAAATTATACTAAAGATATTATAGTATATTATTTCAACTATATATTTTAGTATTATTGTTTTTTCTTAATTTTTTAATGAAGCTTAAACCTTCATCAGGAATTATTTCAAGGTATCATTATTTTATTTAAGTGTCTTTTTTTAATGAGTTTGAATGAGTTTATTTTATGTGAATCTGATTTCACGTTAGCTTTAAATATGAATAGGGTTCAGCGTTAAATTTATAGTTATGGTTTTAAGATCTTCCTTTCGTCTTGATGCTACTATTGTCAACCATTAAGGTTATTTCATAATAAACTATAGAGTCTTTTGAGTCTAATCAATGTGTTGCTTGGCTTGGAAAAGCGGATTCACAGTCATCACAAAGAACTTTTTCTTACTATGATTCTTGTCACCTTGTCAGGTAATGTTAAGGACTTGAGTAAGTGTGTTAAATTTGCAAATAATAAAACTGCATTTTAAGTCTAAATATTAAATATGAAGCATATTATAAGTAGAATATTTAAATTATAAAATGTTTGTTTATTAATTTAAATTTTTATAAAAAAATATTTTCTTTTAAATAAAATTAAAATAAATAGTAAAGAAATAAAGATAGCAAAATAAGATAATAAATAAATGTAAAAATAAAAAATGTGATAAAGATAAATGATTCAACTAAATTGAAGAGAGTAACGGAGACATATTGGAAAGATATATTATGTGACAAAACTTGATATAAAGATTTTAGAGTTGAGTTTTACAAATACCGATGTAAATTATTAAAAATACATTTATCTTGATAAATATTAATCAAATTATTACATTAAGAAATGGATATTAGTGGTGTATGAAATTCGTAATGTTAAAATTACATTAGTACATACTGATTATTAAGAACAAAATTCCCTCCATAATCTACTCCGTCAATAAATATACATAAGTAATATGAAATTTACGACAAATTAGAATCCATCCATAATAATCGTTAAATTAATATTCTCATATAATATTAACTCATTAAATTATTCAAATCCTAATTTATTATGTAAGTAAATTAACCTAAATTGATTAATTATAATTTCAATCTATTAATCATCACTATAAAATAAATATTTTCGAAAATTATTAATTAAATCAATTTATTCTTAACATTAGTTTTAATTAAATATTTTTTCCAACATTAGGTCTAAAACATTTTTTAAACTCAATTAAATCTTCATTAAATAAGTAATATTAATTCAATCTTAATTAAATAAATAAAATTAATTACATCTTAATTAAATAAGTAAAATTAATTACATATTAATTAAATAAGTAAAATTTAATCAATATAATACAATCATTAAATATAGAAAAAAACATAGAATTAAAATAAGTTTTCAATAAATTTAAAATTAAATGTTTACATGAGTTCAAATTTCTTTAATTTTTTGTATCGGGTAAAGTTTATACAAAGATACTAAATTACGTAAATTTAACTTTTTATTTGGTATATTGCACAAAAATATAAACAATTAGATATAATAGATTAAAAAAGTAATTTAAACGTTGTTTCGCATATTTTCATTTATCTTTAAAACCTGTCATTAGTGAGGGCAATATACAATGATGTAATATTTTTTCATGAATAAATTTTGGACCTTCTATTTTAGATTCTTCATTTCTTACAGTTATTGTGCAAGACTAATGCTTCCAAACGAAGTTAACAAACATCAATCTCAAAATCACTGCACTTGCATAAACTATGACCTTATACTAAGAATGATGTCTTTCATCTACAAGTTTACGCTTTTGGGTCAAAGGTTTGAAAAGATAATCCTAGAGAAACGAAAATAATGGGTCTCTAAAGAAAGAGAACATACTATAATAATTTTGCATTAATAAAAACATTATTTAATATACATCTCATAATAATATGAGTTTCGTAAACTTTAAGAAATTTATTTATCTCAGATTTAAAGAAAATATATAAAAAAATCATGTTGGTAAGATGTATATTAAAAAAGTATTTTTTAGATCCTACAATGTATTGTTGATATTATTAATTATAATTTATGAAAGATTTATGTGGTGCAGTGGGTGACAGTTGAAGTAGGAAAAATAATACATTTTTTTTAATTGTAACTTTTAAGGTCAGCTTGGACTGAACTAATATTTCACCAAACAATGATAACTTTCCCTCTAATCTAAGGGAGAAAAAAAAGAAAGAAAAGAGCATTGATGTGTAGGCCATGTTCCCATTCATCGTAATCCAAAGTGTCAAGTTGCAAAGAGGAAGGATATACTTTAAAACTAAAAACAATATGGGGAAGGGCAACATCAAAGATGGACCCAATCAACCAATTATATTCATCAACCCTAGCAATATAATGTAGATGCTTTTTTGGGGGTTGCATATGAGAAGGTATAGTAGTAGCTCAACAAATTATTGCTTTCCACCACAAGCTTGCGATAATGGAGTAGATCATTGCAATTTCAATTTGGCATGTATAATTGAGAGAGACACTTTCAACTTGATAAAATTGGATCACTTTTAGGCTCACAATTTCCACCTTATTAGTTACATTTATACCATCTATGCATTGATCTTGCAAAACAACAAACGTTAGGTGGGCACGCCACCAATTTGAGGACTTCGTGTTTCGTGGCCTTGCATTGTCTATTTTGAAGCGTTACGTTTTTTGCATCATCGATTGGTTCTTTGTTTATGCCAGCTAACTAACCATTTTATTCGTCACAGAACGAAAACCACTCGCAATCTGCTCTTAAATTTGTATGTAACAACGGGTCCATTTGTTGTTGACACATGTGAAGAATGTAATAGTCCTTTCTTTTTAATCATTTTAAACAACTCACGATCAAATAATTTTGTTCAAACATAAATGGTTCATCTAAGGTCAAATTTTAAATATTGTCTGTTCTCTTCTTTTACTTAGAAAAAAATAATTATCTTTTTTTTTTTTTTCTGGGTAGGCACCACTGACATCACCTTAATCATTTGCAATTTTTTTTATGAAAATTAAAATAGCACGCAAACACCAAAACCTCATCACGTGTTCTGCACGTTAGTACATTTCAAATATTAATAACGTTTTCAATTCTTTACCTGGCTTACATGTGAATCGGAAAATAACCGCTGGGTTACAAGATTGATTATTTGTTTATATCAAAAACGTTATCCAATTCAAACCAATCTATGAGAACACACAAGTTGTGGTCAAGAAAGCAATGCAAACAAATGAAGCCTTCCTCGCTTAGTTCATTACCAGTTATTCACATCAAACCATTCAACAAACACATCTTGAAGAACTTTCTCAATCACTCAACATAAATGAAAATGAAACTGTAGAATACATAAGGATGGTTCAAGTGTAGCCACCCTATTCAGATCTTTACATTACACGTCATGGTATATAGTGTGACAAATTGGTGATTGACGAGTCATATAAGAACAAAATTATGAGAAAAAGAGAATAAAAAAAATACAATATTCGGGTTGCCGTCTGCAAAACACAAATAAGTGAAACCATTTTTGATCTTTGTTCCATGCAATGCAAGTGGTCATGTTGTTGTTTTCTATCGGGTTGAAAATGGAGAAACGTTCTCTGTCCTCTGTTTCACCACCTTAGCACTTTCTTCCTTGACCCCACTGCTAGCAACAAACATCGCGTTAATTTGTTGTTCAATTATTAATTTCTCAAATTAGAAAACTTCACTTCAAAAAGAAATACATATTTTCTTTAACTTATAAAAATCTACCATTAATTTCGTATTTTTATGGAAGTACTATTATTTGCTTTTAGAAATTGCTATCACTATAACTTTTTTCTTTTTTGTTAAGTACTACTAACATGGAAGGAATGATTGTTTTCTCTACTCATATTCACATAAATAAGAAAAGTCTAAGTAAAAAAAGGAAGTAATAAATTTTATTTTATTTGTTGAACAATAAAGTTTAAAATTGGTTTTATAATTACAGTGATTCGATTTTTTTTTAATTATGATAACTAAAAAATAATAAAATTATAAGAAAGTATTGGGTTAACAATCTAAATATCATTCCAACATCCATTTATATTAATATTTATGATTGTTAATAGGCTGATTTCGTAATTATATTAACTAAGTATCTCGAGAATGAAGATATAATCAAATTAAACCAGATTACATTAGTTAAATTAATTAAAATAAATAACAGAGTTAGAATTTTGGTCATTATTAATCATTAACTAAGTGGGTCGATAAAAAGGGATTAGAGATTAGAGTACACGAGATCCGTGTTCTTCAAATTTTTAATGCTAATAATAAGGGAAATGTTAATACCCTAATTAATGCATTCTTAAAAAAAAGAGCTGTCTCAGTGATTAATTAATTAATTGGGTTAAAGCTTTTGAAACTGATACCTGTGAAAAGATGAGATGGAGGAGGCACTCTCAGGTTTATAAGTGCTGCATTGTACACATGAAATGAAGTGTCTTTCCAACAGCATTTGCAACAGCCAGGCATCACATAAGTTTCCTGTGAAGGAAGTTTTATGTCATTTTATCGTCAGAACTCTTTTATCTCTGTGGCCAGCAAGTAGACTATGCCGCTGTAGCAAAGCCTCAGTTCTGTCTGTGGCTTCTTTGCGGCTCATTTGAGAAAAAACACAAAGATCTTAAATTTTGCTGAATCTGGAAATGGGCTGTCAAATAAGGTTTCTGGGTCTGTGTCTATGGATATACTTGGCAAGCCTAAGCTTCGTTGGGTGCTGTGTCTATGGGTCTGCAGTTGATAAAGGGAATGTTTTAGTTCATGGGAAAACTTTTATTGGAAGGATTGATGATGATTTTGTCTGTGCAACTCTGGATTGGTGGCCTCCTCAGAAATGTGACTACGGAAAATGTAGTTGGGGCCATGCTTCTCTGCTTAATCTGGTTAGTTCCATTCTTTGTTGTCTTACGGTTTCTGAATCTGTCTAAAAGTTATTGTTTTTTCCTTCAGAATAATAAGATTGTTTTTGCTTCTTCTTCCTTTTAATTTATAAATAACATTTTCTGAACGGTGTCGTTTTCTTTTCCTCTTCGGATTGATGCTCTAATCTATCAAGAATACGCGTCTAGAGTGTCTTGGCTAAGCTAAAATAATAATTTCTGCAAAAACGTTTATGTTTTATTTTTTTCAAATCATAATTTTCTGACCATGTAATGATGAGATTATCCTCCCTTCCATCAATAAAGGTTCCAGTCATGTCACAAACTTTCAGAATCTGATGTAGTTTTTAACGTCAGAGAGAATTTACGTATTATAATTTGAATCTGTTGCAGGACCTCAACAACAAAGTTCTGTTAAATGCAGTAAAAGGTATGAGAATATTCGCATCTGGGTTGTTTTCGCAGCAATTTACTTCGTTTTTCAGTTCTTTTACTGAATGATTCATGGTAGTTTTTGGAGTTTATTAAGCTATCATTGCCTATGAATGTTTTGCAGCCTTTTCACCCTTGAAAATTAGATTAGGTGGCACTTTGCAAGACAAGGTCATATATGGAACTGAAGATAATCGAAAACCCTGTACTCCTTTTGTCTGGAATGCCAATGAAATGTTTGGTTTCACTCAAGGGTGCTTACCGATGTATAGGTGGGATGAGCTAAACAGCTTTTTCCAGAAAACAGGGTAAAAACAGTTTTCCCTTATGAATTGTTACCCGTGTGTGTGGTTAGGGCTAAATAGACCTGTCTTGTTGATTTGGAAACTGTGTTTTTAACAAGTTTAACATCAATGATAGGTATATTTCAGGGCTAAGGTTATCTTTGGATTAAATGCTCTTGCTGGAAAATCTATAAAGTCTGGTTTTGCTGTTGGACCTTGGGACTACACCAATGCTGAATCTTTGATACGATACACTGTCAGAAAGAAGTACACCATTCATGGTTGGGAACTTGGTAAGTGCAACTGGAACAATAAGACTAGACATGAAAATGGGGATATCTCAAGGGTTAAGGCTGTTATTATCTTTATTACATGCATGAGGTCACTTGACAATGACAACCATTCATTCACAAATTTTACATAAATAGTTGTAATTCTCAAATATCTTTTGCTAAAAGAAAGAAATGGCAACATCACTTCTCTAGAATTAACTGTTCTGTTCTATAAGCCCTGTGAATAAATCCATCTTGTGTGTGGACTAATTACAAAGGAGCCATTTTATTACGGGCAGGCAATGAATTGTGTGGAAATGGAATTGGAGCAAGTGTTTCAGCAGGTCAATATGCTTCTGATGTAGCTGCCTTAAGAAATATAGTTCAAAATGCATATAGTGGAATTGAACCAAAGCCACTAGTCATTGCACCTGGAGGCTTCTTTGACGCAGGTTGGTTCAAGGAGTTTATAAGCAAATCTGGTAAATCTGTAGATGTAGTCACCCACCACATTTATAACCTTGGGCCAGGTATCTTCCACAAAACTGGATATAAATTATCTTGTTTCCCTTGTCTCCATTTCTAACTGAAGGCTACTTACAGGAGTTGATGACCACCTAACTGACAAAATTCTTGACCCTTCGTATCTGAATGAAGTGTCTAACACATTCAGCAGCCTCAAACGTATACTTCAAAGTTCAGCAACCAATATTAAAGCATGGATTGGTGAGGCAGGAGGGGCTTATAATAGTGGCCATCATCTTGTGTCTAATGCATTTGTCTACAGCTTCTGGTTAGTGTAGCTCCCCATGCTTTGTCAATATCAAAAGAGATTCCTTACAAGTTTATTTTCTAAAGTTGTCATATTAAGCACAGGTATTTGGACCAGCTTGGCATGTCAGCAGTTTATGACACCAGAACATACTGCAGACAAAGTTTGATAGGAGGAAACTATGGTTTACTGAACACTAGTACTTTCATGCCAAATCCAGACTATTATAGGTACTAAAAATTGAATTACATAGTTGAGCAATGAACATCATCATCATCATCATCATCAATAATTAAATATTGACTGATTTATCAGATTTTGTGTCCCATGTGTGTGATGTTTGCTTCATTAATTGCTTTCCACTTCATTAAGGAACCTATTTCTAATAGAGAACAAGGGGTTTTATTAAGTGGGGTCCCATTTGATGTAGATTTTTGTGGTTATGTACTTTCTTTCTTACAGCGCACTTCTATGGCACCGACTCATGGGAGGGCGTGTCCTCTCAACCACCTTCTTTGGGACGAAGAAGATAAGAACTTATGCCCACTGTGCAAAGGAATCCGTAAGTGAAGAAGTTCTCTGTATATGTATTTGTATATGGTAGATGTATTATACTTGAAATCTGATATGACTGTGATACTCACTTCCAGAAAGGGGTCACAATACTATTGCTCAACTTCGACAACAGCACCACTGTTGAAGCCAACGTGGTCTTAAAATTCAACAAGTTACCTCACCGTGGAGTGGATGAACCAGCCAGAAGAGAGTACCATTTAACAGCACCAGACAGGAATTTACATAGCCAAATCATGTTGCTAAATGGAAAAATTTTAAGTGTAAACTCAGCGGGTGAAATTCCTCCTTTGAATCCTATTTATGTAGACTCAACAAAGCCAATAATAGTTGGTCCTCTATCTATTGTATTTGCTCATATACCAAATGTTCTTCTTTCAGCATGCAGCTAGCTAGCTAGCTAGCTCAATGGCACTAGGTGAATCCAAAATTTGGTTTCACTTGGTGGTTGATAAAATAAGAGATAGAATACATGAAAATTGTGTTTAAGTTCATTGGTAATGGTTGATCTTTTCTTCCTTCCTCTATTGGGGGCATATAGGATTTTGACTAGTTTGTTTGTTTTCCAATGCCTGCCAACTACTCAATTCTATGACAAATTTTAAATGTCTTTAAGTAAATCGAAAGTGACATTTAATTTCTAGCCACATGTGGACGAGACATTATTCTCCTTCACATTTAATGCTTGAATTTTTATTGTTATTTGCAATAAAAAGTTACCAAGCTGAGTTTTTTTCAAAGATATTCTTCTACGGTCGGTCCTTCGTTAACAACGGTGTTATTAATCAGTTTTTGACATATGACATTAGTTGAAAAAAATATTCTATTAAAAAGTATAACATTTAAAGTTAATAATAAATTTTCGCTGCAAGTTTAAATGAAAATCAATTTATTATTTCTTAATTATTAAAACCCTTAACACAATTCTTAACTAATATATTAAAAACCTAAAAATTCATAAGTTATATTCATTAAATAAAAATAAGACCTACAAAATTTCTTAGTATGAATAATTTTCAAATAATAATAGATAGTGTATGGCTTATATTTCTCTCTCTTTTACAACTATCATCTAGATTAATGGCACAAGAGGGATAAAGGAAAAGTTATTCTATTGTTTGGTTTGTTAAAATAGAACAATAAAGAAGATTAATCGTAATTTATGCCGTTCCATTGTCTAATCCCAATTTTCTTTTCCTCCAATTTGAAATGCACATGATAAAATAAATGAAACTTGTAAATTATAAAAATATAAACGTTCGATTTATTATCGCATAATGAAATAAAACTTGTTTTGTTTCATTACAAAACATCCAATAATATTATTTCATTCTATTTCAATTCATTTTATCCAACTATATTTGTATCTATCTTTATCATCAATTCAAACAGAATCTTAAAAGACCATATATAACAAAATCTTATTAACAAATGAGAGTAAGAGAAATCTGAATAAGATGAGAATGTCACGAATGATAGGATGACAAGAGTTGGGGTGAAAAGAAAAAACTATTGCATGGAGAGTTTGGGGAGAGATTTAATAGCTTAAAATGTTATTCATTCTCCAAACGGTGACTTTCTGGTTGAAACTTGCAACAGAGGGACCATAGCACCAAAAGTTGGTAGAGGAAAACTGATTCTTGACTTTCAAGGATTTAAGCACGTCAATACAACTTTTGGTGACCAACCACCATAACATCATCTATGAAAAATATACAACTGCTATAATAAGCTACAATTGAAAAACAAGAATAAATACATACATACAGAACAGAAATACCTATACAATCATTTCTTTGTACTTGAATTATCTGATTTGTATACATTAAAAAGATATAACCCCGTGTCAAAAATCTGCTTCGCATGAATAGTGAGTGATTGGAGCATGAATCAGTTATGCTCAGAAAAACTTTGAGGCTTACTGCTTGCGAACACCAACCATACCATGGTACCAGTCACATAGAAGAAGATTGATGGTGCAAATAGTGAAATCTACATGACACAGATGAAATATAAATCAAATTCACATAGTGATATACGTCATACATTGAGAAAACCACTAACATTAAGAGCTACTTACACTCCATGAATGAGTTAAGTCAAGAAGATAACCGGTGAGGGCTACACCTACAATTCCGGGAACAGCCCCAACAGTATTGGTTATACCCTGAGAGAAAAGAGAACAAGAAAGATAGTCAGATGCAACTAAATCAGATATTTATTTTATTTACGAAAGAATGGTGGATATGGCTCCAACCTCTGACAGAAAATATGAGTATGATTTAGTCTTTAGGCAGTTTCAAGTTAGTCCTCTACAACATCTTAGGTGAAGATAAATTGTTTTATTCGGTTGGAAAAATCGGATAGACTTCAAACTTGGGATAGAGCAGAAGTCCATCAACAGTTAAAATACAAACTAAAACTCACAATACATTAGGCCTTAACATGAACAGAATAGCTTAAAGATTTTCAGAAAAATGAAATTGAAGTTTGAAAGATGTAGAAAATAAGGGCTTATTGTTAAAACATTTAGAAGTGTAAGCACACGTACCAGAAGTATACTTGCATATTCGGGTGACATGTCTTGGTGGGTACAATATAGACCTGGAGAATATAGACAGTGAAGGCTAAGAAAATTATACGAATCAAACAGGGAATAATTGCAGGATTAACCAGTACCTGATAAGGCAAAGCTTGAGAGGGCCAAACCACCTGTGAGAATCCCCACAATCTCCCAAGGTGGTAACCCTAGATCCAGCGAGGAAAGAGTCATGCAGATTGCAGGGGACAAAAATGCAATTGATTGGCAGATCTTTCGAACCTATAGATATTGTTTAGAGAAATTCAGGCAGCTGAGAAATTAAGAATAAAAGTCAAGATATGTTCAAAAAATTTGTCAGTTGTCATTGACATGTCTGCATTGGGTCAACAGCCACAACATCTATTGTGCCTACATCCAGCGAGGTGTAGTCAGTAGTCTTGTCTTTACCCTAGTATGCATTGTGTATGCAGACAATCTAGATGCAATATTTAGCATTAGAGATGGACTCATGGCTATAGAAGATGAAATTCCATTTCATAACAAAATATGATGTCACCTTTATCATGAGGAGGTAAATTTGTTGTCATATCATAAGTGTTAATTATTCACATAATAAACATCAATAACAAATGACGTTTCAGTGCCTCTCATACCACAGTGGTGTCAACTCCTCTTGAAATCAAGTTGTCAGCTAATTGTGCTGCAAGACCAGTCACAAATATTGAGGCCAATGGCGGAAGAATAGACACCTGAAATGATTTAGAATTCCCAATGGTTAGTATGTGTGTATGTAAACGAATTATAGGCATGATTCCTGCCGAAATAATACTTTTAAGCAACTTTTCTTAAAGAATCATAGAAACAGTCTCTCCACTTGTTGGGGTAAGGTCCACCACTCCCAGGTTGAACATTACCCATAGTAATGATTGTTTCCCCTATTAAGTTTAAATAGTTTAATATTATTCAACATAAAATTTGCTATTTTGTTACCGCTATTTTTTATTGGCCAAGTTTTGGGCTAGCTACAGGAGATGGGGTGAGGCCATTGAAGGTTTGTGTTAGGAAAAATAGAAAAAATTGAATAATTTGGTATTTAGTTTTTGGCAATTATGTTTAACTCTGAATTAGGTAATTTATGTTTTATGTTGTGCAGTTATAGTACTAAATACATGGTATGGCAGCGCTGCAAGATGCAATTAATGTGTCAGTTTGTTGTTTGTGATGTTTTGAAAGAGGAAACTGCTACATTTCCTTCATTGTCAATCTCAAACATTTCGATTGAAAAATGAAACTTTCCTATTCAAGACATTTATAGACACTGAAACAAGAAAGAAAAAATAACTCTTACCCATGCAGCTTCAGTCAGATTTAGATTCAGCTCCTCACTACATAGCATACAGAAGGACGAATTAGCTTCTCCATTGGTCAAAACTGTAAGAAATACTGAAACTAATTCTGTACAATTTTAAAACAAAACTTTTAACAACTGACAATCATGTAAAACACAATTTTGTAATTCCTCAGAAGAATATTTCAATACATAACTAATATTAATAGCAAAATATGGCCAAATGGCAGTTAGTGATCATCACTATGCATCAGTATGGCATCTACAAAGTAATGCTAAGTAGTAACAAAGAAAATTATTGAAGATCCCATGTCCATGTCTACTAGAGATATGATTAAAAGTAAAATATATAAGGGCATGCAAATTTCATTTTATACATTAGTTTTGTAGGATTGAATTAAGTTTAAACTTACTTTCAAAGATAAATTATGGTTTTTTCCCCAGCACTAGAAAGCTTTTCCATGGTATTGAATTTGATGCATAAATATGTTTAAAACCCATAGCAAAGAAACATAAAATTCTTTACTGAATTCTTTGACCTGAGAGAATTCTAAAGCTGAATTTGGTTCTCTCTAAAATATAAGAGAAAAGATAAACTTTAGAAATTATAATAAAAATTTCCAGAGCATAAACTGGGTACCTCAAGTAAAAGAACTATAGAATTTATTATTCTTTATGCACTCTAATTGTTAGACCCTATTAATAAATTATTTATAAAATTACTTTCTTTACCAAATTAACCAAAATTAAACATGAGGGTTTTTTTCTTTGAAAAAAAAGTAAAGAAAAGAAAAAGTCAAGGTGTTTGATTGGCACAGAAATGTAGTATGGCATCATCTCAACGCAAGAGGGCTCAACAGTAAAGTCATAAATTTCAAATTGAAATTGCCTTACAATGTTAAGTTCTAAAATGTAATAAACTAAGTATCTTTCTTCTCAATGTTCAAATATATAACTAGAGTTAATGAAAGGTGATTCCAGCTTCTTTCTACCATATTTATGATATGATAGTTTAATTCAATTTTGCACCCATACTATGTCATGAATGAGTAAATGTTAAATGAAAAAAAAAAAAACTAATTAAAGAAAAGAAATTATTAATGCGACTGACTCCCTTATAGCTTGGTTGCAGTGAAAAATAACAAAAAGTGGAAATAGGTAATCATTAAATGCTCACAGGGTACCTAAAAAATGTGGGAAGCCATGATAGACAGTTATAGTGACCCCAACTACCGCAGAAATGAGCATATATCATAGCCCACACAGCACGAGTTTGGAAAAAGGCCTTCCAAGGTATATCCTGTATTATAAGAACAAACACAACAATGTTACTTAGCAGATATTGTAAGTATTCACTCAATCCAACGCAGTGTAAGCCTTACCCACACACACAGACAAAACATGATATATGGTATTCAAACTCTTCAGAATACTTGAAAATTGGAATTGCTTAAGAAAATTCCTCTAAATATGAATATATGTGTGTTTGTGTAAGTATAAATTTTATTACCATGAAAGTCCTTCATCAAAGACGACTTCTAAATTATCAAAATGAGTTAATAATGGGCCGGTTTAGAAGATTTTATTTTCTCTGTAAACACTTATGGGAAAGAAAAACCAAAAGAAAAAAAATGAAATTGACTTCTCCATGTAAGCTAAAATTAGTTTATACATAAGTTAAAAATAAAAGTTTAGAGCTATATGAGAGAATTTTCATAAGCTAACTTTACCTTGTAGAGAAGTTAATTTAAATTTTTCTTATTTTTTTCCTTAGTATAAGTGCTTATGGAGAAGTTCATCCAAACATACCCAATATCAATAATAACTAACACAAGTAATGAAAAATATTAGAATATCTTGGGCAACTAAGCAGATGTGCCAAGTCATTCCTAGGGTCATTCAAATTTTGATACAAAAGAATGAGCTTCGAAACTGGCATAAATTTTGTTACTCATACCTTCAAAGAGCCATTCAACTCTGTCAGAGAAGTTTTCCATGAGTGTGTCAGGGTATCTGGGGCTGCTGAGACAATGAAAGTCAAAAGTTACGAACAACCACTTTCACCACATAAGTAAAAAAAGAATGAGAGCCTTGAACTGAACATGTAAGCTGCCTTCAACATGTAACATTAGAAAACTGATCAGTAAAAGATATCATCTTCATTTATAATTTCTTAATTCTTAACTAAAAGTACATATTATGAAGACTAGAAAGAAGAGAGATACTGAATAAATGGAGCAATGTGGTCCTGGTTATACAGCAGAAGGTGGAAGATTGATTATAAGAAGTAGAGTGTCTGGTTTAAAGCAGGTTGAAAACCTTAGGGTGTTCTTTGATTCTCTCTCTCTCTCTCTTTCTCCCTCTTAACCCTTCTTTTGATCTTGAGGGCCTAACATACACTGAAACTCTATGCTGGCATGTCAGAGTGCCAAATTAACATTAATTGAGTAAACCCCTTAGTTCATGAGATTGTAAGCATTATAGACTTTAGCTCCTGAATTTTCTAAGAACTCCCGTGTAGTTCTTGACTTTGCAAAAACTCATTCACTTTAGTCCTTAATGCCAATGAATAAAAACTTAGAAAAGTCTAAACTGAATGACTTTCTACAAAGTGATGGATTATATGAGGGATAATGTCAGGGATTAAAGTAACCAATGCTTGAAAGTTCAGGACTTATCTGGGGGTGCTCAACATTAATTATTGAATCACAACCACAGACGCAGGGAATAACCTAGTAATTATGTAGGTGACTCACATTTTATGTCAGAGGTAGCATTGAAAATCTATTAAACGATTATTATTGAATTTGACTCCAATAAGGTCAGCTCTCACTTTGGAAGGAAAAGTTAGAAATATCAACATCAACAAGAAAATCAATTATGCACATGTATAAAAAATCACGGATTTGTTAGAAACTACTCCGTTGATGTCCTCATCAATGGTTGAGATGCCTCATTTTCCTCTCTAAAGTGAATTTTTCAATTTAGAGGAGCCAAATTCTCTGAATGATTAGCATAGACAAAACCAACACCAAACCAGGCTAAGAGCTGATGCAAAAAATATTTTTTTGCAGCAGTGTTGATGAAGATGAAAAGCAAAGCAAAAGTGACAACTCTACTGAGACCAAGCCAGATTATGCAGGCATGTAGTACCATAGTAAGGATGACCTCCAAAGTATTTTTCAAAAGAAAAAAAAAATGTTTCCAATTCCAACAGTTAGGATGATAAAGTAGACATTTACTTGATAAATATCAATTCCAGGAACTCATCAAGCCTAATAGATTATAAAACATTTTTGACCAAAAATGCATCATTTATCATCATTCATTTAATAACAAAATACTTTTTAGCTCAAAATAAGAAGGCACAAAAAATAAAATAGATAGAGATCTCACGTGAAAGCAATTCTGCATTTAATTGTGGTTGACCTCCTTCAAGAAATTGAAACCCCAAAAACCTTAAAAATCATGCCAATAAAGCAAGTCATAATTTGAATCAAACAACCATATTTGAAACTCAAGACAGAGGAAATTCACTATTTTAAACTGATTGGCAAGTGAGAAATAGATTAGTCATTTCTACTTACCAGGCAATCCCCAAAAGACCAAATATATAGAATACGGATTCCCAACCAAGATTTTGGATAAGGGGAGGCGCCAAAAGAAGCCTGACAGATATTGCAGCGTTAAAATTGAGAGCAGACCATAAAAAAATTACAATCCTGTGTGACTACAAGCTAGAAAATGCCTACCCCATAACACTTCCAAAACTCAAACCACCAAAAACAAATCCTACTGCCCGTGAGCGTTCTTCCAATGGTATTGACCTGTGAAAAGATAAAAAAATATTATCATTGGCTGACATGTATTTGTCAAAATCTGGGAAGGAACCAAGCTATTTTTCCCAGAAGTTGGAGTTTACAAAAATATGATTTTTTTCCACTCAAAGTGACAGTTAGCATAAGGACTTATTTTTCAAAATTAATAACAGTGTGTTCACCTAGGCCCTAACCCTAAAGTCCTAAAGCAAGATGCATTATCAATTTTAGGAGGGTGTGGAGCTAGGTGAGTGAAATGATTAACTTATAATATATTTGTCCAGCTCCAAACAATTGCTCTTAGTGTTCTGCATATTTATGCTGTTTCGGATTCTAATCTTGCAACAAATAATTTAGTGTTCCACCAAATTTTCTTTCTGAAAAGAGACTAAAGACAATAAATAATTATAGTTAACCAGAAAATAATAAAAATTCACACTGACTAGAAGAGTAAGTGGAAGATAAGTAAAAATCGAATCATGAAAGAAATGCAGATCAGCAGAAAATCAACTTGATCCCAACATATTTGGATGTTTACATGCCTGGCAATAAGATCCGTAGCAGCAGATGGTGAAACACCTTCACCTATCCCAACCTAGATACGCAATGGAAGGGAGAAGCTTAGTAGTGTTGAAAAAGAATAACAAATGCTAAGCAGGGTACACGGTAAATAGCATTAAACATGTAACCAAAAAAATAGAACTAAATATACGAAAAGAGAAGCACAAAATACACACACTAACTGCAGCAGATAGAAAATACCGTGAAAAGACAAATACAACAATAACATTTTGCAAGACCCAACAAGGAATCATGCATGTAAGTAGGCCTTAAATCAACAAAGAAGTAAGGATGCATTGGGTGGTTGAAGGATATTACTGACCAAAACCCTTGACAGTAGTAAGCCAGGCATATATCCAGCAAGAGAAGGAACAAAAGCTGTAGCCACTGACCATATCAGTACTCCAACCGCAAGAACAGTTCTGAAAAGAAAGATAATGGTGTAACATCATAAGCCCGGAAACTAAACAGAAATATCAGTGCCAACTCTGAATGAGGTATTTGTTTGATTACTATCCCTTTCTTTAGGACTTGAACATGAGTTTTTCAATTGACTCTCATTTTATAAAAGGAAGCTATAGATGGATACCTTTGTCAATAATAGATAAAAGAATGTTTAGATAAGATGAATAATATAGTATAGGAATATGCATTGCACATGACAAAGGTATTGTTTAAGATGGCTTAAAATGACAAAGAAGACAGATTTAGAAAAGAAAACATATTAAATTATAAAGTTATTGGGAAACATATTGTTAAGAGAATGCTTGGGTTGGTATGCAAAAATGACAATTCCAGTTCTATCTCCATTAGATTGGAATGAAAAATGCCTACCAGCAGAAAGAGACATCGCCTGATAATTATCTAGGGAGAAGCACACCACAAAAGCTAGCTATTGTAGTTGGAGTCCTAGGTCTTATAAACTCCACACTTCCATGTTAGACTCAGGTTTCGTACCCTACAATTGGATTCTAACATCCCACCTCGCTCCACAACCCTAAAGCCCATGTGGACTGGCAATGAACTTTCCCTTTGACTAGTTTAGGAAAACATTGCAATGTCGGTATCATCACCTGCATCTCATTTGCAACTGAGAGACATGATTAAAAGCTTGATACCAATTGATAAGAACCTAAGGAGAACTACACCACATAGGATAGTTGGAGATTCCAAAGATTTATAAACTCCATACTAGAATCTCATATTTCCAAAGTAAAAAAATTTAAGTTCCATACCTTGCAAGTAGATTCTAACATATCCATCCTGAGCCATGATTACAAAGAGATTACAGGAGAAGATATTTGTTGCTAAGCATTTTAAAGATTTGGTTCTCATCATAGTTGGTCAAACCATTGATTCATTGTTTCAATATCAATTCAACGTTATAATGGATAATATTCAAATCATTTACCAGCATTTATTTCCTAAAAGAATAATAAAAAATCGGTGCTAGTCCCAATTTTATTATTCCTACTCATCAAAATTTGAGATCAAAGTGCCTAAAACTTCAGTGCAATATTCAAAAGAGATTTTTAATTTGAAGAAATAATCATTTTTTTCCAGCTCTGACATGACACAAATTAAGGGTCCTAAAACATGGCAATGCAGTTGGCCTAACTAAGAATGGATCTAAGAAGGACTTTGATACTTTAGAATTAAGACTTGTGGTCTAACTCAAATCCACAAAACCAATGTGTTAAGATGAGGGCTATCCAAACTTTATAATCTTTATTTAAATCATATCTAGCAAATGTGAAATCACAAGTCACTAAGAACCTACGTCAGAGTAGTTGCACTTTATTATGCTTCACTCAACTTTTTTTGCATTTCAATTGCTTTGCATGTTCCTTTCAGATGCAGACAGGATACATTTTTTTAGTTGAAAATAACAAATTAAATACAGAAACACAAAACGGAAAATTAGACGTAAACACACAAAAAAAGAAGAATTATTTTACCAAATCCATACTGACCAAATTAAAGTGGCCAGCTTGATTTGTTCTTTATTCACTCAACCTGATATCCCAAATGTTTTCATTTTCTTTTGGCAAAGAAAATTAGAAAATGAGTAATATCTTAAAAAGTCACTTAAAGCCCTCAAGTCCACTCCCTATCATCCGGAAACTTTCCCAGCTTTCTTTTAGAGTTTAATTTTAATACATTGTTACAAATTGCCACCATTGCAGCATGACATTATAATACATTGGCACCGAAAGTAAAAGTAAGAACTTAAAATTATTCTAGTTATTGGTATATTTCTTATAATTATGCATTAGTACATCCTCACTCTTACCAATAAATCACTATGAGGTGTTTCTTATACTATCCTAACATCTCACTTGATCACACTCATTCAACCATTGACACTTTAGAAGTTAGACTAAAATATGGAAATTTGAATTCTTTTTTTTTTTTATAAAAATGTAAAATAGAACAATGCTGGAGATATGTTGTGGATGCATTGTGATAAATTGTGTGAATGGAATTCACACTGATAAAGTTTTCTTTTTCAAGTTTTCTTTTTCTTTTTTCTTCTGAAAGTTCTTATATGGAGAAACTTGTTCAAGTATTTTGAGAGCGAATAGCCATATAGCAAAAGAACTTGTGTTGTAATTGGTAACTAACCTGCCTCCAAATATTTTGGCTAGCCACCCCCCAGGCAATTGACTCAATGCATAGCCCCAGAAGAAGGAGGACTGAACCAATCCTGCCGTTGTCGAGTTCCACCCAAATTGATGAGACATTGGAATTATGGCAACACTCAGGTTCACCTGCACCGCAATAAATAAAATCAAATCCCATGCATAATTAATGATGCAATTCATTGATTATTACTCTAAAAATGCTTTCTTTTTATTAAAAAAAAAAAAAAGTGTTTCTATTATACAATTGTGATCAGGAAGCAATTTGACTTGTGAGGTTGCAAAAGCAAGTAAGAACCTTATCCATGTTACAAATAACGAAGGCGAGAGATGTGGTGCCAATAAGCTTGTATCTTTGAGGAAGATTCTTCCAAGGTGGCCAGGTCCCAGAAAAGTTCTCATGCTGCTTCTCCACCTCTTCCACTTGAAGGTCCGTGAGAGCTTTGGACTTGGCCTTGGCCATTCTGTGGGTTTCTTTGGCATTTTGTTGAGCGCTAGAAACTATTCTGAGCCTTAAGGTTTGGTAGGAAGGTGAGAAGTGGAAGTGAAAACGTGGAAACGATGTCGTTCTGATAAAAGGGGTGTGTGAGTATGCTCTGTGAGTGTGTGAAATAAAGCAGGAATTTTCTGGTCGCAAGGTGAGCCTTGCCATGCTGGTTAAAATAGCCTATTCAAGTTGCAGCTGCAGCAAGGAAGAGGAATAAAATAAAAGATGAAAGAAAGAATATTTGGGTGTGTTAAGGAGTGTCATAACATAACTAAACATGAGGCGTATGGGTAATATTAACGTCGTCGAGGCTATAAGAGGTGGCCACGGAAGTGGTGGTGCTTGTGGCTCACATCAAATTGGAGATTTGGAATGAACAAGGCATAGTCATAAGTCCATGACATGTAATTGATTTTTTGGTTCAAAGGCGTAATAATGTACGTAACTATTTTGGTCAGGATATGTTAACATGTTGGGAAATGTGGGCCGGTCCATCTGTTAGCTTATTCAAGCTCTGGAACCATAATTTCTTCTTACACCTCTACACTTTAAGTAAAATATCTAAAACAGTCTTTTCATAATTTTATTTTTCACCCTAACTTTTTTTTTTATTTGTGTATAATTTCTGCATCTCAACACCTTCATCCTTTATTTATTTAATTTTTTTTATTATCATTTCCATTAAAGATCTTTTTTAATAATTAAGATAAATAATTGTTAATATCTTTTATTTATTTGATTTTTTTTATTATCACTTTCATTAAAGATCTTTTTTAATAATTAAGATAAATAACTGATAATATTATGTATGAATTATACAAACAGATCAAAATTAAAAATGAGGTTGAATTCCAGAAAATCTAATCCATAAATGTATTCTGAATTGGATATTCCATAATATATTTTCGGAAAGGTCAGTCCAAAAATATATTCTTAATTAGATGTTCCGAAATGTATTTTTAGAAATGTCTGGATTGGCTTTTCCAGAATGGGTATTCTGGAAAAACTTTTTTGAAACACGTTCTAATTGAGTGTTTCCGAATGTATTTTTAGAAAAACCTTTTTAGAAATATATTTTGGATTGGATATTCTAGAATGTTCTAGAATGTCAGACACATATTTTAGATTATGTGTTTTGGAAGATGTTTTTGAAAAGGTTAATCCAAAATATATTCTGAAAATGAAGTTTTATTTAATATGGGGTTGCCTGGAGAAAATATGAGGGTGCAGGGAGAAGAGAAAATATGAAGGTGCAGGAAACATCAGCTATTCAAGGCACCAAAGTTGGGCCCAAAATACAGCAACAGTGTAAATTCATTAAAATTTAAAACAGTTTAACATGGAAACGCTTATTTCTTGTCGGAGCCATTAAAACAAATCCGGTAATACTATTTGTCATAAACAAAGCATACAAAGCCTGTGGGCAAGAGGAACATGGAGGAATAAAATATTCAACATATAATCACTAACTTGACACAATAGAAAACCTCCATGGTGGATCACCAATTCATGTAGCGAAGAAAGACATGGCTGGAAGTCTACTCGTTTCGGAGGAGAAATCAGTGTCCAAGAGCGTTCAACAAATGTCCATGGAAGGTGATGAACCACCGTCACAATATATTGTAAATGGAAATAAGTTTGGATCTAAAGATTCTTGTGCACCGATTCCAATACCGACCATTGATGTAAGTCTCCTCTCATCAGAAGGTGAGCTAGAGAAGCTCAGATCTGCTCTAAGTTCAGCTGGATGCTTCCAGGTTTGGATTCACAAAAACATACAAAATCTTCATCGGTGCATACCTGCAACTTGATTGCTACTTCCATCCATCTCACCACCATAAGACATATATTGCATATTGTATTTTCTAGTTCCCTTTGAAGAGTCATGAAGATGACAAAAGTGATAGATTTTATGGTTCTTAACTTGCGGCTAAAATGGAACTCTTTCACTATCTCAGATTAATTTTGTGTTCTATTGTCATGATTGTGGATAGGTAAATATCAATACAGCTGATTGACTCTTCTTTGAACCAGAACATCCTTGATCTAGAGATATATATAAATTCATTTTTAACAGAAAGCTGATTGTTAATTATGTGATTCTATATCTGGTTAGTGAGCCTTAGACTCGGTTATAAATAAAAATAATTAATTTATATTATTTAGGACAGTGAATTAACATAATTTAATTTTGCTATTCTCCATTAAAAAAATTGTACAAGTTTTTCTTTGTAAAATATATGTCCTTTTGAAAATTGATGTTATGAATAACTAAAAATCTATAAGTGAAATTAGTTAAATTTTTCTATATCTAGATTCAATTTACATGACAACTTTTTGTATATTTAAATTTTACAAGGTACATTCTGACTATGTAAGTCATTTTCAATGAGCTAGGATATTAATGTTTTTATCTTTTAAATATTCTGCATATTTTGTTAGGTAAACATTAAATGCATGTAGTTGAGAGGTAGTGGTTATAAAGGTAGTAGTTGTATTGAATGTATGTAGTTGAGAGATAGTGGTTGTATTGAATATATGTAGTTGAAAGGTAGTAGTTGTATTAAATGCATGTAGTTGAGAGGCCATATCCAAAGGCCTATAAATTGAACATGTATCACTCATTGCAAATACATCAAGTGATAATATACAGAGTGTTTTATTTAGATACTTGTTTGTCAACAAATTGGCATCAGAGCTTGAGAGTCTGAGTGTCTGGGTGTGTTAGAAAGTGTTTGAGAGTTAGAGAGTTTGTTCGAGATGACCAACTTAGCTAACAACATGCCCCTGCCAAAGTTATCGAAAGGTGTAAGCTATGATAACTGGAGCCTGCAAATGAAGGCTCTCCTTGGTTCCCAAGAAGTATGGGATGTGGTCGAAAATGGGCACCAAGAACCAGAGAATATTGAAGAGCAGACGATTGCTCAGCTTGCTGCATTGAGAGCAACACGAGTAAAGGACAAAACGGCTTTGTACGTACTGTACCGAGCTGTTGATGAGTCCGGCTTTGAGAAGATAGCAAATGCTAAATCTTCAAAAGAAGCGTGGGATATTCTGGAGAAGGAAAATAAAGGGGATAATCGCGTGAAGCAAGTCAGGCTTCAAACTCTTAGAGGCGAGCTTGAAAGCATGAGGATGAAAGAGGTCGAAGGGGTTGCCGAGTACATCTCCCGTGTTGAGACCGTGGTGAATCAACTCGGAAGAAATGGAGAGACGCTGCCCACTTGCCGAGTGGTGGAGAAAATCTTAAGGTCGTTAACTGACGACTTTGAGAATATCGTTTGTGCAATAGAAGAGTCCAAGGACTTGTCAGTGCTCTCGGTGGAAGAGCTTGCCGGGTCGCTTGAAGCGCATGAGCAGCGGAGAAGGAAGAAGAAAGAGGAGTCCCTTGATCAAGCACTCCAAGCAAAGGCAACCATAAAGGAGAAGAAGGTTCCTTATGCTCAGAACACTCAAGGCCGAGGTGGTAGAGGCAGAGGAGGATATGAAAGAGGTAAGGAGCAAGTCAGTCAATAAAACTGGCGTGGCCGAGGACAAGGTAGAGGTCGTGACGGTAGAGGCCGAGGTGGTCAGTCAAGCAATTCTGGAGTTGAGTGCTTCAAATGTGGGAAGTACGGTCATTTTGCTAAAGACTGCTATTCAGGTATCAAATGTTATAATTGTGGGAAGGTTGGACATTTCGCGAAGGAATGTCGATTTGAGACCAAGAAGGAAACAAATCTCCTTTCTGAGGAAGCTGAGGAAGAAGGAGTATTGATGATGTCGAGAAGTTCGGATGTCGAGCTAAGTCCGAGCTGCTCTGACTACTCGGTTTGGTATCTTGATACAGGAGCAAGTAACCACATGTGCAGGGACGAGAACCTTTTTAAGGAGCTCACTAAAGTTGAGGTCGGACACGTATCATTTGGAGATGCATCAAAGGTGGCAGTAAAAGGCAGAGGTACAATCTGGTACCTACAGAAGAATAGCCGAGTTGGAGAAATCAGATACGTGTACTATGTACCCGATCTCAAAAGTAACATATTGAGTATGGGTCAGCTGATGGAGAAAGGCTACTCGGTTCTGATGAAAGACCGAGTACTATACCTGAAGGACAAGTCGGATCGTTTGATTGCCCGAGTAGAAATGAAGAAGAACAGAATGTACAAGTTGGACTTGAAGATAGTCCAAGAGAGGTGCTTGAAACTTGACGTGATGGATGAAGCAATGATGTGGCACTTTTGGTTTGGCCACTTGCATTTTGGCGGGCAGACCAAGTTGGTAAAGAAAGAGATGGTGCGAGGACTCCCGTCTATGGAATTTGAAAAGAAATTTTGTGAAGAGTGTGTGCTCGGGAAGCATCCGAGGACCTCATTTCCGAGAACGACCGAGTACCGTGCAAAGGAACAACTCAGATTGATTCACACATATCTTTGTGGACCGGTTACCCCTGAGTCCTTCAGTGGGAAAAGGTATTTCATTTCTTTTATAGATGATTTTTCAAGAAAAACTTGGGTATATTTTTTGAAGGAGAAATCCGAGGTGTTTGAGGTGTTCAAGAGATTTAAAGCAATGGTTGAGAAAGAGACTGGCATGCCTATCAAATCTGTTAGGTCTGATCGAGGAGGCGAGTTCATTTCATTCGAACTCATGAAGTATTGCGAGGAGCAAGGGATAAGGAGATTTGTGACAGCACCATACTCACCCCAACAAAACGGAGTTACCGAGAGGAAGAATCGAACCATTCTTGACATGGTTCGAACAATGTTTAGAAGCAAAAACGTGCCAAAGGAGTTCTGGGCAGAAGCAGTGCAATGTGTCATCTATGTGCAAAACAGATGTCCACATGCTAAGCTGAACGAGAAGATACCGCAAGAAGTCTGGAGTGGAAGAAAACCGAGTGTGTCTCACGTTAAAGTGTTCGGTAGCATAGCTTATGGTCATGTTCCAGCTCAACAGAGGACCAAGCTCGAAGATAGAAGTAAAAAGTACGTGTTTATTGGGTATGATGAAAAAACCAAGGCGTACAGGTTGTTTAACCCAATAACTAAGAAGGCCATCATGAGCCGAGATGTTCAAATTGATGAAGAAAGTGAGTGGAGTTGGAACAACCCGGAGAAGGAGTCCATAGGAAGTAGAAGCTCGGAAGTTGATACACCATATACTGTGAGAGATCATGAGACTTCTGATGAAGAAGATGAACCTCTACAGCCCAGAGCGCGAAGTTTACAAGATATATACAACTCCACTGACGAAGTGCATGTTGTATGTCTCTTGGCAGATTCAGAAGACTTAAGTTTTGAAGAGGCCGTGCAGGAGAAAAGGTGGAAAAAGGCAATGGACGAGGAGATCGGGGCAATAGAACGCAACAACACATGGGAGCTGACTGATTTGCCCAAAGGAGCGCGACCTATCGGCGTAAAGTGGGTGTACAAGAATAAGACAAATGCTGAAGGAGAAGTTGAGCGATATAAAGCTCGACTCGTAGTGAAAGGGTACAAGCAGAAAGAAGGAATAGACTATGACGAAGTATTCGCCCCAGTGACGAGAATGGAAACAATTAGGCTGCTGATTTCCTTAGCAGCTCAACACAGATGGACAATCTTGCAGATGGACGTGAAGTCGGCATTTCTGAATGGAATTTTGGAGGAGGAAGTATATGTTGAACAGCCACTCGGATACATGCGAAGAGAAGAAGAGAAGAAAGTGTTGAGATTGAAGAAGGCACTTTATGGCTTGAAACAAGCCCCACGAGCATGGAATGAAAGAATTGACACTTACTTCAAAAGGAATGGATATGAGCAGTGTCCTTATGAACATGCTCTATACATAAAGAAGAAAGGAGAAGATGTGATGTTTGTTGCCCTATATGTTGATGACCTTATCTTCATGGGGAATAATGCCGAGCTGATTGAAGAGTTTAAAGAAGTGATGAAGAAGGAGTTTGAGATGACTGACTTGGATCTTATGAAGTATTTTCTTGGCTTAGAAGTTGTTCAGGGAAAGGATGACATCTTTGTGTCGCAGGAAAGGTATGCTGAGGAGGTCTTGAAGAAGTTTAAGATGACAAGTTGTAACTCGGTTTCCACCCCTATGGAACCTGGTACAAAACTTTCTAAGTATGCAAATGGAGACCGAGTTGATGCGAGCAAATACCGAAGTCTGATTGGAAGTCTTAGGTATCTTACAAATACCAGACCAGATTTAATGTTAAGTGTTGGAATAGCAAGTCGATATATGGAGGAGCCAAGATATACTCATTAGAAGGCACTAAAGAGAATTCTAAGGTATGTGAGAGGAACAGTGTCACTTGGCCTAATGTATACTAGGACGGATGATTATCGACTAGTACGCTACTCGGATAGTAACTGGTGTGGAGATGTTGATGATCAGAAAAGCACGTCTGGATATGTATTATTCATGGGAAACACAGCATTCACCTGGCTTTCAAAAAAGCAGCCCATTGTAACATTGTCAACTTGTGAAGCCGAGTACGTTACAGCATCCTGGAGTGTCTGTCATGCAGTTTGGCTTAGAAACCTTCTAAGCAAGTTGGAGTTGAAGCAAGAAAAAGGGACTATGATTCGAGTTGATAACAAGTCGGTCATTGAATTGGCAAAGAACTCGGTCAATCATGAGAGAAGCAAGCATATTGATGTTCGGTTTCACTTCATCCGAGAATAAGTGAAAGAAGGAAATGTGGAGTTAGAGCACGTCAGAACCCGAGCACAAGTTGCAGATATGTTCACGAAGCCACTGTCAACCACTTTGTTCGAGAACAGCAAGAAGATGCTTGGAATGAAGGACAAGAAAAACATTTAAGTTTATGGGGGGATTTTGTTAGGTAAACATTAAATGCATGTAGTTGAAAGGTAGTGGTTATAGAGGTAGTAGTTGTATTGAATGTATGTAGTTGAGAGATAGTGGTTGTATTGAATATATGTAGTTGAAAGGTAGTAGTTGTATTAAATGCATGTAGTTGAGAGGCCATATCCAAAGGCCTATAAATTGAACATGTATCACTCATTGTAAATACATCAAGTGATAATATACAGAGTGTTTTATTTAGATATTTGTTTGTCAATGTATTTGACATGTTCTTAACAACAGGCAATTGGTCATGGAATGTCAAGTTTATATCTTGACAAAATACGTGAAGTTGCAAAACAATTTTTTTCACTCCCAGAAGAGGAAAAGCAGAAGTATGCCAGAGCTGCTAATGAATCTGAAGGATACGGGAATGATAGAGTAGTTTCAGACAAGCAGATCCTTGATTGGTCCTATCGCCTTTCACTTCGAGTTTTTCCAGAAAAAACACGAAGGCTTTCTCTTTGGCCAAAAAGTCCTACTGATTTTAGGTACTACCCTTCAACCAGTCTGACATATCCAAAAAAATAGGAATTCGTATTATATTATTCTCAACTAAAATGTTAGAAGGAAGATTTTTTGAGGATATATTTCTACCTGATAAATTTGTAATATACTGAAGTAGAGTGCTTATTGAGCTCAATTTTATTAATATAATGCAGTGAGAAATTAGAGGAGTTTTCAACGAAAGTGAAATCAATGATGGAATATCTATTGAGATGCATGGCAAGGTCACTAAATTTGGAAGAGGATAGTTTCCTGGACCAGTTTGGTGAAGGATCATTGATGTTAGCGAGGTTCAACTTCTATCCACGTTGTTCTAGGCCTGATTTGGTTCTTGGTGTCAAACCTCACACGGATAGATCAGGAATCACAGTCCTATTGCAAGATAAAGAAGTGGAAGGTCTTCAAGTTCTGATAGATGACAATTGGGTCAATGTCCCCACAATACCTGATGCTTTTGTCGTCAATCTGGGCGATCAAATGCAGGTAAACTAGGCTCTGTCTCAAGAAATCATTCTACTGGTTGGTGATTAATCAAAATTCATCAAGCTCCGAAATACTATATTTGTACTTGGCTACTTGTCAGTGGTGCGTCATTAACATGTTTTTAAGGCAGAATTAGTATTTAGTTGATGAATGCTTAATGAAGTTGGGTTGTGTTGCAGATCATGAGTAATGGGATATTCAAGAGCATAATGCATAGGGTTGTGACAAACACAGAAAAGATGAGGATGTCTTTGGCAATGTTTAATGAGCCCGATCCAGAGAAAGAGATTGGACCTGTAGAAGGTCTAATAGATGAGTCACGACCAAGGTTATACAGAAACGTTAAATCTTATGGTGTTATCAATTACAAATGTTATCAAGAGGGAAAGATTGCACTTGAGACTGTAAAAATTGCAGATAACTCTAATATGAGATGATGATAATTTCAAATTTCAATTCCCAACCAGTTGGAAATCAGTAATGATTTTGTTATTTAAATCAAACTATAAAAGATAAGTATGTATGGTTTAGTTTGTTGTGAAACCATTAGTTGTGTATAATGTTAAATTACCTACCTTTCAAGTTAGTTGGTAAGTTAAATTTGTTTGATAACTAGGTTGTGTCATGAATTGGTTTAATTACTACGGGGCAAATTGGCTTAATTACTATGTAGCAAATTCTTGAGATAGATAAATCGACTAACCAAGTGATACAATACCCCAGAGGGTGAGAATATTGTCATATTTTTCTAGTTTTTACCATGATTCCATTTTGTACATGTTTCAATATTGTAATCTCGTCTTAAACATGAGTGAGGAGGATGTCGAGTATGGTTGCAAATTGTTCTTTATGAATAAGAAGTTAATGAGAAAATTGTCTTGTTACATTGTGCCACATATTATGAAAATGAATTTTTATTTTGGTTGAAAAAAATGTATTTAATTAGCCTAGCGATTTTAAATAGCATATTTTATATTGTTTGCACGGTAAATAAACTGATTCTGAGCAATAATTTTAATTTACGAATTAAAAAGTCAATTTACATATCACTCTTTAATGTTTATGTTATCAAATATATTTACCTAGCTATCAAACATTAAAACAATAAAAAAAATTGTTATGTTACCATTTTTAAATAATTGATATAAAACATATTTAACTTATAAAATAACTTGAAAGGTAACTAATATAACACGAGATTAATATATAGGAAACAACCAACACGTAAAAGATAATTATTTTATTATTAAATAAGAGTTGTAGAACGTATGTTTATAACACATATTTATCTTTAATAGTTTGATTGAAATAATAAAAAACACTAACGACTTTTTCAACCAATTAGGAATTTAGAATTTGAAAGTATCACCACCTCTAATCTGAGTTATTTGCAATTTTGACTGTGTCAAGTGGAATCTTTCCCTCTTGGTAGCACTTGTAGTTGATATCACCGTAATATTTTATGTTTCTGTATAATCTTGGTCGTGACTCGTCTATTAGACCTTCTACAGGTCCAATCTCATTTTTCGGATCTGGCTCATGAAATATTGCTATAGACATCCTCATCTTTTTTGTGTTTGTCACAACCCTATGCATTATGCTCTTGAATACTCCATTACTCATGATCTGCAAAAGTTCCCAACCTCATCAACTAGTTAATGATGCACCACCAACAAGTAGAATGAGTTCATGAGATAGAGCTCGTTTACCTGCATTTGATCGCCCAGATTCACAACAAGAGCATCAGGCATTGTGGGGACATTGACCCAATTGTCATCTATCAGAACTTGAAGACCTTCCACTTCTTTGTCTTGCAATAGGACTGTGATTACTGATCTATCCGTGTGAGGCTTAACACCAAAAACCAAATCAGGCCTAGAACAGCGTGGATAAAAGTTGAACCTCGCTAGCATCAATGATTCTTCACCAAACTGGTCCAGGAAGCTACCCTCTTCCAAATTCAGTGACCTTGCCATGCATCTCAATAGATAATCCATCATTGATTTCACTTTCGTTGAAAACTCCTCTAATTTCTCACTGCATTATATTAATAAAATTGAGCTCAATAAGCACTCTATTCTTCCATGTTACAAAAGCTTCTTAGATAGAAAATAAAGCCTCAAGAAATCTTCCTCCTTACAGGTAAGTTTGGAATAATATAATATTACTATTTCTCAGGACAAGTGGGAGCTGTTTGAAAGGCAGTACCTAAAACCAGTAGGAACTTTTGGCCAAAGAGAAAGCCTTCGTGTTTTTTCTGGAAAAATTTGAAGAATTATACGATAAGACCAGTCAAGAACCTGCTTGTCGGAAACTATTCTGTCATTCCCATACCCTTCAGATTCATTAACAGCTCGGGCATACTTCTGCTTTTCCTCTTCCGAGAGTGCAAAAAATTGTTTTGCAACTTCACGTATTTCGTCAAGATATAAACTTGACATTCCATGACCAATTGCCTGTTGGTAAGAGCATGTCAAATATGCACCGTATTCAAAAGACAAAAACATTAATATCCTTGACATTGCAAATGGCTTCCATAGTCAGAATGTACCTTCTAAAATTCAAATACATACAAAAAAGTTGTCATGTAAATTGAACCAAGATATAAAAAATTTTGACCAATTTCACTGATATTTTTGGTCATTTTCAAAAGGAAATATTTTACAAAGAAAACAGTTAAAACATTTTTTTTGGAATGGAGAATAGCAAAATTAAATTATGTTAGTTCTAGTTCACTGTCTTAAATAATATAAAATTAATTATTTTTATTTATAACCAAGTTTAAACCTCACCAACCAGATATGGAATCACATAATTAACAATCAGCCTCCTGTCGAAGATGAATTTATATATTTCTCTAGATAAAGGGGTGTTTTGGTGTAAAGGAGAGTTTATCAGTACCAGTGTTGATATTTACCTATCCACAATCATCACAATAAAAACAAAATTAATCTGAGATAGTGGAAGAGTCCCTTTTTAACCACAAGTTAAGAACCATAAAATTTATCACGGCTTATGCTTATGGTGGTGAGATACATGGAAGTAGCAATCAAGAATGCAGGTATGCACTGATGAAGATTTTGTATGCTTTTGAAAATCCACACCTGGAAGCATCCAGCTGAACTTAGAGCAGATCTGAGCTTCTCTAGCTCACTTTCTGATGAGAGGAGACTTACATCAATGGTGGATATTGGAATCAGTGCACAACAATCTTTAGATCCAAACTTATTTCCATTAACGATATATTGTGATGGTGGTTCATCACCTTCTATGGACATTTGTTGAACGCTCTTGGACACTGATTTCTCCTCAGAAACGAGTAGATTTCCAGCCATGTCTTTCTTCACTCCACTAATTGCTGATCCACCAATTGAGGTTTTCTATTGTGTCAAGTTAGTGATTATATGTTGAATATTTTATTCCTCCACGTTTCTCTTGCCCATAGGCTTTGGATTATTTGTTTATGACCCGGATAGTGTTAGGTCATTCTTCTCCGGTTATAATAACTAGAAAGATTTAAATCATTTTATTGATTACTGTAACTAGAAAACTTAATAATCAAAACAGAACATGGAAACAAAAGTAGTGTCCTAAGCAATAATTACAAATACACGTTTTCACTGAGTCGCTATGATGCATGCATTGTTTTATGTACTTGGCGAAGGGAAATTCCAGATCTTCATAATAGCTGCAGTGTTTAATGAAGAAAAATGTGATTATTTCATTAGCTTTTGGCATCATTAACCAGAATTCTTAGCAAAGCATCATAGAAAAAGGGCTTGATACTGCTAGTGTTTAATAATAAATATAAATATGTTGTGAAATTGGAAAATAATTCGGTAATGAGACTGTTGGGATGGAAAACGGATAACGGGCTAGTTCCCGTGTGCTGGACAGCGGGTTAAGTTGATGGATCATATAAACGGGTTAAGTTGATGTTTCCACCAACTTATTCCGTCGGTTTACAGTACACTTAATTAATAAAATAATAATAATTTTTTATTATATAATTAATCATAAAAATAATATATAAAAATATAATTAAAAAATATCTCATTCTTATTTTTACCGATTAAAAATATTCTTCTTATTTAAATACAAACTTTTCTCATTTTTTTTATTGTTCATCATTTTATTTTAATTATTTTTACTTTTATAACTTAAATTAAAAATATAAAAATTTATTTAAAAAGAAAATAATATAATTTATTAAATAAAAAATGTAAATATTAAAATTTTTTAATATAAAAATATAAAATTTTATATATATTTATTATTATATAATTTTTATTATTATTTTAAATTATAAAATTAGTATATATTATTAATTTAAAATATAAACTGAATTATTGAAAATAAATAATAATTTTATTATTAAATTTATTAAAAAAATTAATTTTAAAATTTCGACTGCTCCACCTGTCAATCCATAAACCACGGTTTATGACCCCGATTTATATCCCATTATGAGTATAAAAACAGTTAAAACGGGACATAGTAACCAATACAAGTCACAGAACATACACGATAACAATAAAGTATGTCAATTACGTTTTGGTGAAATTTCTGAACCAATATCCTTATAATAAAGAAATTGATTGATTAATTTTCCCTTAAAATAATATTGATAAATTTTTCATTGTTTTTAAATTTTAGAAAGAGAAAAAATACTGAGTACTATTCTACCGAATGTGCTTTTACCTTTCTATTTATAATTAATTCAGCTAAAATTTACTTACTTTATTTCCCAAATCATTTACATGTTCCCATGTTACACTTTCGATTTATTTTGACTTTAATCAACAATCCAAAATCAGGACACAATTAACACAAAAGATCGATTATGCTATTCTTATTTGGAAATATCAATTTTTATGTATACATAAATTAGTTACTCCCAAAAATCCAGAAGTAAAATTTTAATTCAATGTAAATTTCGAGTTCGGAATATTGAATATAGAAATTCATCTCTTTACTTGATTTCAAAACTTTTATTGATTAATCCACTATTCAGTTTTTAATTGAATCAGTTCAAAAGCCAGAAAACTCTTAAATGGATTATAAAAGATGAAGAATGAATAATAAAATCGGCCCACTGATAGGCATTCATAAAAAGATCGGGCGAAAGATGGTAAAATCATCGTCATCATGAAACTCCAAGTAACAAGGAACAATTTTGCTGCTGACTCAACCTAATCAAGTGTCTTAAAACTACAGATGAAGTCGGAGGAGTGGGGGAGATTTCAAAAACAATGAAGTCGACATGACAGATGAGTTAAAGACTAACAAAAAAGTAAAGGCATGGTAAAAAGGACGGTTTTCCCTTGTTCTGCCCTAGTAGAAAATTGATGAACGATGCTCTTTTCTCTCATCATCTCTTTAGAAGATCTTGAAGAGTAAACCACCATGTGTAGCAAAGAAGGGGGCAAACACAAGAGACTCAACTGCCATCAGCTTGATAAGGATGTTAAGTGATGGACCGGATGTATCCTTGAGAGGGTCTCCAATGGTGTCACCAATAACTGCTGCCTTGTGACAATCTGACCCTTTCGGACCAAGGCTTCTTGCATGCTCGGATGCACCAGCCTGTAAAATAGCACCATAAAACCATTAAATCCACATTAAAGATTCATCACACTCCATTATAATAGCGAAGTAGATCAATTGATAATACAGCACAAAGTAGTCAGCAAAGTAATTACCTCAATGTACTTCTTGGCATTATCCCATGCACCACCGGTGTTGGATGCGGAGATAGCAATCTGTAAACATGGCATTTTGTCTTTAGATGCAAAGAATAGATGAGCGAACGACAAAGACAACACAGTTGTTGAGCAAACTACTAAATAAAAAGTGTGGTGGATGAAATATTACCTGTACACCGGACACCAGAGATCCAGCGAGGACGCCAGAAAGTGTTTCAACACCAAAAAGAATCCCAACGACAAGAGGTGTAAGCATGACAAGAGCACCAGGTGGTATCATTTCTTTGATGGATGCATCAGTAGAGATCTTAACGCATGTAGCATAGTCAGGCTTGGCAGTTCCCTCCATCAACCCTGGAATGGTATTGAATTGCCTGCGTACTTCCTCAACCATCTTCAGAGCAGCACTTCCCACACTCTTCATGGTCATGGCAGAAAACCAATAAGGAAGCATTGCCCCCACAATTAAACCAATGAAAACCTTAGGAGTCAAGACATCAACAGTTGTAATAGAAGCTCGGCTCACAAAGGCACCAAAGAGGGCCAGAGATACAAGGGCGGCAGATCCAATGGCAAAGCCCTAAGACAGAATAATACCGATATCAGAGAAGTAGCAAGAAAACTGATGTTTTCGTGAACTTAGAGAATTGGATTGGAATAAAGTTAAAAAAAATAAAGTCCGCACCTTCCCAATTGCAGCAGTCGTGTTACCAGCAGCATCAAGGGCATCAGTTCTTTCACGAATTCTGTGACTCATGCCAGCCATTTCCGCAATACCCCCCGCATTGTCACTGATTGGACCATATGCATCGATGGCCAATCCAGTGGCTATGGTACTCAACATCCCAAGAGCAGCAACGGCAATACCATACATGGCAGCAAAGGTGAAACTAACAAAAATACTAATTGCTATAGCAAAAATTGGAATAATAACAGACTTGTATCCCAAGGCAAGGCCAAATATAACATTAGTTGCAGCACCAGTTCTGCAGGAGTCAGCAACATCTTGCACAGGACTGCAAAACCAGACAAATAGTCAAGCTAAAAATCTAATAATATGGTTCCACAAAGGTCAACTACAAAAAAGTACAACATTACCCTACATTACTCACCTATATGCATTACTAGTATAGTACTCAGTTACAAATCCAATAATAAGTCCTGCCCACAGACCAACAGCAACACATAAAAATAGCTGCCTGCAAATCAAAATAAAAACATCTAATCAATCCTCGGGTATAAAAAGAAACCCATGTATTATTCTATATATATATATATATATGCAATAACCCATCCTTGAATAATTGTTTCACCAAAACCGTGGTTTCTTACAGGAGTTATAAAACTTACCAACTCTTGACGTCTTTCTGCACTCCAAAATTGAAGATGGTGAAGGAAGTTGGAAGTGCAATCCAACTAACAACTGCAACCCCAAGAGTCATCAGCACAGTGGAGATAACGAGCTGCTTTTTCAATGCAGGCTCAATCTCCTTCACAGCCTTGATCTCAAAGAAGTCAGTTGCAAATAAGGTAGTGAGCAAACAAACAAGGATACCCACAGAACTAACAATGAGAGGGTATAGCATCGCAGTCAACTCATGATTCAACCCAAACGAGGAGATAGAAGCAACTACAAGAGCAGCACAGGATGACTCCGCATATGAACCAAAAAGATCAGATCCCATACCAGCTATATCTCCAACATTGTCACCAACGTTATCAGCAATCACCTGCGTGCACGATCATTTTTATTCAAGCTAATACGAAAAAAGGTTAACAAGAGAATTTTGCAAATAAAAAAGACGGAGTGATTTCCACATTCTATCTCTTACAGCTGGATTTCTTGGATCATCCTCCGGAATGTTTCTTTCAACCTTTCCAACAAGATCAGCACCAACATCAGCAGCCTTAGTATAAATACCTCCACCAACTCTTCCAAACAAAGCCATAGAAGACCCACCAAGACCATAACCAGTTATGGCCTCAAAAAGACCACCCCAGTCATCACCATAATAAATCTTAAATAAGTTGATGGCAAGGTAAAGAACCAAAAGACCATTCGCAGCAAGGAGAAAACCCATAACTGCACCAGATCTAAAAGCAGTAATGAAAGCCTTCCCAACACCCTTTCTTGCCTCGAGGGTGGTTCTTGCATTGGCGTAAGTTGCAATTTTCATTCCAAGGAATCCAGAAATAAGTGATGTGACACCTCCAAGCAGGAATGATACGGTGCTGAAAATAGCTGTGGCAAGTGCTGGCTTACACGTTTTAGTTTTATCATACGTGCAGGGCTGGTAGCTTGTGCTGAATCCTTCCACGGAACCAAGGAAGAGGAATATCAAAATGGCAAAAGCCACCATGAAGATTCCCACATACTTGTATTCGGTAAAAAGGAAGGAGGTTGCTCCTGTTCAAGTTCAAATACCAGTAAATAAGTGAAACATTCTTTAACATCCGCCAATTAGCACTAATTTAGGATAAGTAAAATACAAAACTCGTGCCAAGCTATGGTTACAACTAACACCAGCTTTATTCTATTATTAAAAATAACAGGCCAAAACAGAGAGATTACAGAGTTTTGGAGAAATACTATCGACAGTAACAAGATCCAATTTAAGAAGCAATAAAGAGCTCGTTAAAGAGACAAACATCGATATTCTAATGCGAACGAAGAGAAACGTGATAAATGCAATCAAATAGGAATAGGAACCACGGGGGATACAAATTAATCAAAGTGATACTTCCATCTGCGATTAATCAAAAGCTTCAAATACTGGGCAATCTCTGAGAGCATAAAGTCTAAAGCCGCTGATGAAAAATAAGTAATAAAAATACTGCACAAAACGATAGATCAAAGCAATTACCCATGGAACGTAAAAAAGCACACAACTTTCGTCCTTACGAAGAAAAAGGATCCATAAGAAGAGCAGGGCAAGACTATAAAACGAAAAAAGCTAATACTAATTTACAACATGACTTGGGGTGTGGTTAAATTCCCGTGACCAACATCGACATGTAAATAGATAAATAATAAAACGAGGCTCAAATCAAGTTTAAGGTCATCAAGAAGTTCAAAAACATTTCAGAATCCATGAAATAAAGCCCCAAAAATAGCCACAGCACAGTTTAAAAAAAACACACTGTAAGCTCTCAAAGTCAGAGCATAGAGTTCACAAACAACAAAAGTCCAACAAGGAACGGCATAAAAATAAAAAAATAAAACCAAGAGCTTTCGCAATCGAAATCCAAACAAGCTATGCAGGACGAAGCACGAGAAGATCTAGATCTACCCAGAAATTAGAAACCCGCGCCGACACAACAAGTTCCAACTTTTAAAACATTTTTCGAAAAAAGAGAGGGAAATAGAAAGGACCCGGGGTCGAGGGTAGATCTCAGAAGACCGAGAGAGAGAGAGAGAGAGAGTAAGACCTTCAGCGATGGCGTTCTGGATTTCGGCGCATTTGACGACTACGTTGTGGTCGTTGATGCCCTCCTCCTCTTCGATGAGGTAGTCGTTGTAGCCATTTTTGCCAGCGGCGTTGGGAGAAGCGTCTCTGACGGCGGAGAGCTTGACCTTGGAGACGAGGAGCCACTGGAAGAGGGCGAAGACGATTCCAATGACGGCGCAGACGGGAATGAGAACCTCGGTTCCGAGATCTGGGAGAATCACTGCTCCCATGGCTGCAAGAGTGAGAGAGTGCGAAGGGAGAAAAGGAGAGAGTGGAGGAAGGAACGAATGAATGAATGAGTGAATGAGGGAATGGGAGGGGGTGGAGAGGGTTTTATATGTGACAGAGAGAGAAGATAGGGGTGAGAATGGTATGGTGACTGGAGAGACAGAAGAGGGTGTGTGGCTCACAATATGAAAATTTTACCAATATCTGTAATTTGTCCATACCTAAGTGCCAGATCTCAATTTTAGGTCACTCACAAACACTTCTCACTTTCCATTTCACCATTCTATTTTATTCAATTAATATTAATATTAATAACTCTTTTCACTTTCTCACTTCAACCATTTCTCTCTCTCTCCATTACTGCTTAAAAATACAATAGAAAATTACAAAAAATCAAGAAATCGTAATAAGATACTAATTTGTTCCAAAATCACTAGATTTTTTTTTCACACTGTACGAATATTACTAAAAAATTATTTTACTTTTTGGCGTCATTATAGGCATGTAATTCGTGATGATGATATATATAAGAGAGAGGCACGAGGATTTGTTATTGAAAACACTATTATATGAATTGTTACAATATTTCTTTTTGAATAGTTCCATTATCATCCACAATATACATTAATTAATTGTATAAATATTTTTTTAAATAACTTGTGTTTTGATACAAAATTTATAAAAGGTAAATATTTTCATACAGAATATAAAATAATTTATGTTCAAATATATTGTTTAAATAATAAATTTTGAAACAAATATTTTAAGAATTTATATGATGTATGTCCTAATCGACTTACAAATAATAAAATTTTAACAAAATTTATATTTTTTCTTTTCTAGAATTTATGATTTTATTTTTCACATTCCCTCATCATCTCGCTGTTATGTTATATTGAAATTTTTTTACTTTATTTTAATATGTTTAACTAGATGTCTTGACATTGATTTTCAATTTATCTTTATAGTATTTTTTTTAGCTTCGTAGAGTTATACTTTTATAATTAATTTCTATAAAGTTTTTTTGTTTTATGAAAATATGATAATCAAACTTATTAAGTTTAATGTTAATTAAGATTCTCTTCACTTGGAAATATTTTTTTAGTTAATATAACTCAAAACTTTTAATAAAGGTTGATATATTTATTTTTTATTACTAGGGTTGATATCTTAAATTAATTATAGATATAATAATATATAATATTAAAGCTAACTTGATTTTGTAGTTTTAGTTAGTTTTTTTAATATGATATTATAATTAACTTTATGGGACATTACACGTATATGTTAATAGTTATTAAAATGAAATATCTATTATCGGGTTAATATTAAAATAGGTGATTTTTTATGTGAGAGATATTTTTAAATCTTATGTAAAAGTTGTCAAGTATTTTAAGTATGATTTAAGTTCCAAATTACGTAATAATAAAAAAGTTGAGCAACACATAAGGAAATATGACCCATAATCTAATGTCTTAAGAATTTTGGTTGAAAGTGTTGTTAATGTGGGTAAAACTCCTTATGTTATATGATATTATTATAATATATAGTTGAAGTTTAAAATTTTAATCTCCTAATATAAGTTGAGATTATTTCTCAATAAATTATTGTTAAGATTTTCTTTCGAATAATATAGATATATTTTATAATATGTATCATGTTTTGTTTAAGAATAATAATATCTTGATTTTCTACTCATTATAATAACATCAACATCAATGTTTGAGATATTATTCATTTTGAAATTCTAATTTATCATTATTTTATTCTTAAATGACGTCTTAATGGGTCAAGATGGAAGTGTATATAAATTATCATTGTCATTAACTCTTAAGCAATGGGAAACTCATAAGTATACCAAGAGCATCGCCCTTCAATTTAAGATTAAGGGATACTGAGTGAAACAAAATTTTATCTTTGACTCCATCGGAAACTTTAATATTTATTTTAAGAATAAGACTATATCAATTTCATATTTATTATAATAACATTATTAAAATCAAATAATATGTCTGAAATATTGTTATTTTAAAACTCTAATTTATTTTTAAGTATATATATAAAATACATTTAGTTTCATCTTTTAAATAATATAAAACTTTTAAGTATATCAAAATAAACTTCATATTCAAAGATAAAATAACTAAAAGAATTCTTAAAACATACTTTTATTCAATAAAATATAATACAAAATATCAACAAACCTAATATCTTATATTTTTAATTATTAAGATGGTTATCTTCAACATACTCAAACTATGTTGATATTTATAAAACAAGTTAATATTGTTTAAACGTATTATTATACAATGATCCAATGATGGAATAATATACAAGGTAAATACTATATTTAAAAATGGTAGATTCTATTATGTTAAAAAGTAACTCTTAAAAGCATATAATATAATTTTGTATGAAAATGATAAAATATATATTTACAATTTTGTCTATAAAAAATGTTTATATTTATAAAATAATTACTACTTTTTTTAGTGTAAAAATACCTCTTAATATTATATTATCTATATCAGTTATATAAAAATTTATTTAAATGAAAATGTGATACTATTTTTATAATAATTAACAGATTTTTTACATTGATTATTAATACTATTAATATAAAAAGTTTTTTATATATTAATATTATTACTTCACATTTTTTCATTTTCACATTATTATCCTAACAATTTTTTTGTTGTACTGTTGTATTTTATTAAACCTCGTTTTCTGTGAAAATTATTATTTTGTAAGGTTATATTTTTTAAATGTTCTTCCTTAGATTCGTCGTCTTCAACATTGTTTTCTTTTAAAAAAACTCCTCTTCAAATCTTCTAATTTACAAAAATTGTTCCACCGCCACAAAAAAACAAAAATATTAGGAAATAGTTGTTGATAGTCACCTCAACGCAAAAAAAAAATATAAAATATGAAACCTTTCTCCACTAAAAAACAAAACAAAAAACACTCAATTGATAATTATACGTGAACATATTAATATTTATGAGAGCGATACATCTTATTTTTTTTAAAATGGCCATATAATATTAATTTTATATATATATATATATATATATATATATATATATATTACTTTCTACGTTGATTATAACCCATAATTAATATAAAAAATATATATTATATTATTTTTTTTACTTTTAATGTTACATATCTATTTTTTACCTTAATTGTCAACTAATATAAAAATTCTCACCCTTTCTATATTAATAATATCTATATTAATTTAACAATAGATATAAAATGTTTAAAATAATTAATCTAAAAATCTTATTTTTTTTATTAACGTTATGATTTCTTGATCATAACAAACAACATCAATAATATAAAATAAAACAAATATAATTATATTGTATTTTTATACATAGCCTATTTTAATTTCATTATGCAATTTTATTTTCATATTTTAGAGGTTCAAATCCGCTATTTTAGATGACAAATATTTGATTTGTCTGTTTACTACAATCAATTAAATTCCAATCTATAACTAGTATTTTACGATGAAAAGGATGGCAAATAAGATAATTAGATCAATTATATTTTACTTATAGTAATGGTGTTATGTTTTAAGATCACGTGCTATAACAGGAAAGAAATTAATTATAAACGTGTTGAAAGTTGTATTTTAATATCATGCCCTAAAAACAATTTTTACAAAAGAAAAATAAAAATAGAAAATAATTAACCTTATATACACTAACCATGTATCAATAAGCATAAAATAGTACGTGTTCATTGGAAAATAATCATATTATATTTAGCATTAAAAAGACATATATTAATATTAAGGAACTCATAGTTCAAACTAAAATGTAATTAATAAATAATATATACTAGTATTGAAATTTAAATTATAAATTTCTATAATTAAAAGTGCAAATCACATTCAGTAAATTAATGAAAGAGTGATTATCGTGTCAAAATTGTACTAATATGATATCTAAATAATAATATTTCTGCAATTAAAATGGTCAAAAATCGCATGAAACTTGAAAATAAATAAAAAATAAAAAACTTACTCATATTATTGTTTTAGCTAAAAGCGAATACTAAATGTCAAAACAGTTTAAATTAGTGGAATATAGTTAACTGTCACATTTTTATATTATCATTTAAAAAAACATTTTATTTTTATTTTTTATACATATCACACTTTCTCTTTATACTCTTTATTAATATTACACTTTTTTTCTCTCTCTATATATATATTACAATTTTTTTCTCTTTTATCTTCCATGTGGATAATATTACACTCATCATTTTCTTATATTATCTTTTTTTTATATAAATAACATAATGACACTAAAATTACAATATTATTAATTTTATCATTAATTATTTTACCGATTGGACAAAATATTAAATAATAGTAAAATATTTATAACCATGAACTGATTCAATTTTTTTTTATAATGCAAAGAATTGAAAAAACATTATAAATAAGTGTTAAACTATGTGAAAAATATTATTGAGTTATTTATTAAAGACATCAATTATAAGAAGAAAGAGAGGGTAAAATATTATTAATTTTATTCGTGATTTTCCTCTGAACACATTATATTTTCAGTATATATAAAAATTATACATCTAAGGATAACGTCAGAGGTGATTTCAATAAAATTGTGTAGATGGTGTATTTATTGTTGTTTTTAATCTGTGTTAAAAATAATTATGTTTATTCTAAGAATGTGTTGCAGCTATGAAATCAACATAATAATTGGTTATGTATTCCATAAATCACTCTACCGTTTTTGTCTTAACCCTCAATATAGTAAAATCTTAGGAAATAGACATTCTAAAACCACTAGTACATATAGGATGGCAAAACGAGTCGACCTGCCGTTTTAGCCCGCCTCGCCTTTAGCGCCAAAGCAGGTGGCGAGTGGCCACTGATATAGTCATGACGGTCGTAGACCTTAGCCGCCCGCCATAGGCGGGTTAGTGACTAGCGTGGTGCCATCATAATTTAAAAAAATAATTTTTTTAA